ATTCTTTGCTCTGGACCATATAGAGAAACACAATCACAGCGTGGCAAGGAAAGAGAGTCCACTATTATATGAGCGCATCATCAAACTACAGAGAAATACGAGAAGATAGTACTATGGAAAGCCTCCTGTTGACCGGCTCTGCCCCGAGGCAAGCTTTGCACTGGGCTGGAAATAGAGCAACTGTTTATGAGAGCAGAACTGAGCCCGACTTGTTCTTACAGCTTCCCCTTGATTAAGACTAATTTCACATCTGCATGAACGATGTGTTTGTAGCTCGCTCATTCAAACGCTTTATAATTAATCCAACTTTGCGCTAGGCTTCCCTGAGTGACTCATTCATGCATACGATACAGCACTCTGGCGGGCTCCATACGTAGATGAAGCCCTTTTCACATCAACGGACTCCTGCAGCTAATGCGAGGGATCATTATGAGCCATCAATGAAAAGCAAAACCCCAAGTGTGCAAACACCGGTTATGTCAAAGCACATGTTGTTTGATGTCCTATTGTCACTTCAATAATCGTGTTTGTAAGGAAAGCTACCACAGGAGCAAGGGCAAACAGAGAGGCAGATGCTCCTAATGGGGAATTGTTGGCAGGGATCATTTAGCTAGTGTTGGAAAAGTGAGCTAACATAGTCTGCAGGGAGCTTGGAATGACTACACCCCCTCGTCCAGAAAGCAATAGCTCCTCTCATTTGGCGCTGCCTCTGATTGTCCATGCATTAAACAGCGTCAGTAACATCGGATATCCAGTGAGCACAAGTGCGGGTCAAAATGTGAGTGTTGCCGATGGAGACAGCCCTCTGTGCGGGGCTGCTGCAGGGGTCTTTTCAGTGCATACGCGCGGATGCCGAGCACAGAACAGCGGGGGCTGGGCACTGCAATGTACTGCAGTGCTCGGAGCTCGCGATGCACACCCACTCTCTTCCTTTCTGCCGCTGACAATCTCTGCTCCACGCTCACCACACTGCTGCTGCTGCTCGTCTCTCACTCTTTCCCATCACTGTTTCTGCACGCTCCTTTGTCCTATTATTTCTATTGTTCGCCACACTTTTCTACTACAATAAACTCCAGAGCAAGCAAAGAGATAGGGACAATTATGGTGGAAGAGTTAATTGACTTGCTCGAAAAGCTCAAAGACAAATAAGTCAGTTCTACTCAACATCCTGTATCGGTTTGACATGGTGATGCCCTTGTTCTTGCCAACAGCTCTGATCGCTAACACAGAGATCCAACACACTCACACACATTTATCAAGGGCAATTTTGTGTTCCCAAATGTCTGAGATATATCTGCAGTGCCCTCCAAGTTTGCAGTGTAACCCAGAAAACTTCTATTTGGAACTATCACAGTTTGGGTCACACTTATAGTTGGAGTTTTACGGCTCACTGACAAGAATAGTTTGGGGATTGTTGCAAACTATAATATTTCAGACTGACAGCCACTGCTGCTCCACTGTGTAAGCCCCACCATCCTTTACAGGGGCAGACTAAATGCCCATGTGCTGGGAGTGTCACAGTGTGGATGAGCGATGACAGGGCCCGCATCTGCTCCGCTCCTCTACAACGCTATACTCCTCCAGCAGAAGTTAGATAAGACAGGCCACGTATCTGAACAAGTTATTTCATTTTTTCCCTGTACGTTCTCATAGCCGATAATACCTTCCAGTTTTTGTCTAGGACAAACTCAGAAGAGAATGGCAATTTTAGCACAGTTTTACTGCACTTTACTCCACACCGAGGGGTGGATAACAGTGAGGGGGCTCATTTCCGTTTGTCATTAAGACTGAGGTTTGTGATCATCTTCATCAGAATGGGATTTTCTGTGCGACAGCTGGATCCCACAGAGATGTTTCTTGGCTTTCCTTCAACCATGACATGAAACGAAACTTTGTGTCACAGCAGGGAACAAAACTGTATAAGCTGCAATTATTATGAGACTCAGAATACTGTACAGCTCCAAGTGCCTCCACCACAGATAAAGGTGCAGGAAAGGCAGATGCACAGAAATCGAGCATTAAGGGGTTTCCACAGGAGAACACCCTGGGTCGTTTATGCTTTTAAACTTGTTCTTTTTAAGATGTGTGGCTTGCTCCACAAGACCGAGATCATTAATAATGAAAAGTGTTTTCCTCCTGTCTACGGCTGAAGCAATGGGCGGCTTGCAGAGAGCATTCAAGATTAATTCAAATGCATGTAACATAGTGCAAGTCAAATGTTTTCCTTTCAATACATTGTTCAGTCAGTGTGCCCTGTCCATGGTGCTGAAAAGCCTTTTGTGCATGTAAAATCCATATCTACATTTTAAACTCATTTATGTTTACACTCAGAGATCTTAGCCGTAAATGAATCAGCTGCTGACGTATATTCTGCTATACATTATACAATGAAAATCATTCTGCTATATTTGTACAAGATAAATGACATCCTCCCATTTCTGCAGCAGGCCATGTGCCTTAAACACAAGAGAATACACAGTGCCCACTACTGGACAGATTCAAAACCTCATGAATAGAGTTATGAAGGTCAGAACAGTGGTCAGGAAAATCTTAATGTGATCAAAGTCCATGAAATCACCAGTGCACAGCCGATCCTTTTCTTTCTTTACACTTTTTGGAACAACACACTTCATATGTGTTCTAGTTGCTCGATTTTCACAAAATCATATATTTCATTATCAAAATTGTGCAATCTACTTTCAGACAATTCAAATAGACTCGCACTTAAGTATTAAATAAATAAAACGCTGTGTGTGGTTCTGTGTAATAATTATACCCAGTTGGACTAATCAAGACATGACTGCTGAGCTTTTAAGTCCCAAATGCCTGATGAGCAAAACAAGATTTGGATAGGCTACTTGCGCTGAATTACATACAGTCTGACGCGCGCAACACAATACAACAGTGGAAATATGGGGACATTTTACTTTCACACACTGCAACACATCCGCTGGGTAAAATAGTGCTTGCTCCAACATATTATAATGCAAAAAAAATATATATATAAACTTAAACTTATAATAAGAAGTAAATAAGTATTTTTTGAGAGATTGTTGGTGCGTGGATAATGGAAGTCGCCCTGTCCGGATACTGCAGCACTGGAGAACCGTGTGCACAAAAACTTGCCTGGGAGCATCAGGGAGTCCCGCACTAACCTCCCCCTCCCTTGCGCTCTCATCCACCTCTGGCTCTTCTGGCAACTCATGTTAACGCGTCCAAAATCCAGTTTAAAGACGACTAAATCAGCATTAAAACAACCTCTACAAACATCTAACGCATGTGAACTTATTTGTGGAGCTTACCTTTTTGCACAGCCTGGTCTCTGCTGCTCGCCAAGTCCTCCTCCACGGACGCCAAGACACTTTGAGATAGAGACAGACAAAAAATAATGAAATCCTCTTACTTTTTTTAAGGTTCCAGTTTGAGAAATGCACAAATCAGGACCGGGAGACACACCTTTTTGTATTATGTCCTTTTTGTTAACTCTATCAAAGCGCCATTCGCATGCACCCCAAGACTGAAGTTGCCAAATTGATAGAGATTCGCTCAGGGGAGGGATAAAACTACACAAGCTGCAGTTTTTTTTTTCTTTCCCTTTCCTACTCGCTTTTTTTTCCAGTCGCGTCTCCCTGCACAGCCTCCTGATTGGCTGGATTGCTCTTCAATAACATAAGCTCTCTTTTTTAATTGGAAGGGTTCCCGGTTCTGTGATGCACCAGCTCGGTTGCCGCCCAGCCCATCACAAGTCCACCCCCCATCGCTATTTTTTGCCTTAAGTGCTGTAGAGGGGGGGAGAATAATGCTGAGCTCTGCGTTTTACCTACGCAAACATGGGACTGGCTGAGAGAGGAGAGGAGGAGAAAAATACTATAAAGCGGGTACAGTGGAAGGAGCCCAGTGGGGTGTATGAGCTAGAGACATTTGGATAAATTTTGGATAAATATACAAGATAAGGCTTTCTTTGCGCGCGTTGCACTATAGGATGGGATGGGTCTCCTCTGCAGTGAGTGGAGTCTAATGGCCAGGCAGGCGAGATAGGACAAGGAGGAGGAGGAGGAGGAAGAGGAGGAGGAGGAGAGGAGAGTCATGCGGTGGTACAGTCTTGGAGCCAGGCTGGATCGGATAAGAATGAGTGGTCAGGGTTAATGCGTTTTCCTCATGAATTATCCCATTGATAGTGGTGAGCGCATCTGCAGCCGTACAATTGTAGATGCTTTCTTGAGTCCAAAAGTGGATGGGTGATGCGTGCGTCTTGGCAGAGGTGGTTACATAACGTCAAAAGGGGGGTTTTCCCGTTTATACACTTTGGACGCGTGACTTTGCGGTGGCGAATGGCCGCTCACTGACAGCTGGCGCCACTGTAGTGCGCCAGCTGCTCTTAGATACAATGCGCAGAGATCAATAACCCAGAGCACAGTGCCAAATCCAAATACAGTGGCTTCATAGAGTGCCCGATTGAACGTGTGCGCAGTCCCAGTGACAGGTTATAAATATAGTTCTCTTTTTAAAATGATCTAATTGTAATCTCTCTATCTTTAGATCAGCCTTTCACAAAGAAAAGTTATGTTGTGCTTTAGTTTGAGATGTTATACTTCCTTCTTTATTGTGCTATAAGTTAGAGATTTCATGTTATTTTAGTATTAGGTTATTGATCACTTGTCTTGTGCTGAGTGCTCTTCATTCCTACTGTCCTGTAACTGGGAATGCATCACTGACAATTCCCTACTGCGGCCCCAAAAGTGACTCACAGGGCTCTTTCTAACTTGTCTGTAAAAGTTTATTTTCTAGCAAGCTAAAGACCGCCTGTTGTGGTCCAATTGGTGCATTTTACTTGTACAAGGCTCTCTCTGCTGGGTAACTAGTATACACACCACACAGAACAATTAAACAAAATCAAGTTTATTATTAGAACAAAACCCAAAAGGAAACAGCCCCCCACACTGACACAAAATGCGACGTATTATTTTACATGAAACGAACCAGCAGCATGAAGGTTTTTTTTACTTGTATCGATAGTTTTCTTTCATCACTGTGGTTTCAGTTTTCTCAGGGAGGCTGTAAACGGTGATGGAAATATTGGAAGATTCAAAAACCTCCTTCAGAATCTCAGCCACCCGTCTCCAGGCCAGTTTGTCCAAGCCGCAGCCAATTCTGTCAAAAGAGACAGAGAAAGGCTGCAGTCAGATAGTTCAAAAAGATATAGGAATCATGTTGAAGATGCAATGATTCATACACAGTAGGCAGCAATGGGCAGGTCATTCACATTGTAATGCATTACTTGTGAGATTGGGTGATCATGTGCAATCTAACATTGTATCCTTGGATGATAACAAATTTAAATACGTTTAAATAAGTCACTGAAGACGATTTACAGAAAGAAGCTGTGGAAACTACAGAGGCAAAGAGAAAGAACATATCACATAATGGATTTTCAAAAAGAATGATGCATCAATTTAGTTGTTTAATTCACAGTATTTAATCAGTATAAAAATGTAATGTAGAATAATGCAACATGCTAATAATGTAAATTATTCAAAATGCACCATTATCAATGTATACACCAACCTTGGCATGGACACTTTGGATACTCCATTGGCGATACAATGAGACTTCATATCTTCCAAGCTTCGTTTCAGAGAGTCATATGTCGGTTTCTGGTAGTACCGTGTCTTTGTAATCTACAGAAATATTAATGAATGCATTGTTACTACCATTTCATCAAGAGCTAAATACAATAATAAGAGTTAGAGTTGTCATACAAGATAATAAACATAGCGTCTTCCATCTTTCAACACAGCACACTGCCCCATCTGTTTCTCTGTAACAAGAAAAGCAAAATCTTACTTAGATCACTGGGTTTTTACATTCAAAGTAACACTTAATGGGGTGACCACCTGTCCCGCTTTGCCTCACACTGAGCAGTCATTTAGTGTCATCTTTTTGTTTTAGTGTTTTTAAAGGTTACAAAAAAACAAAGTTATTTTTTGTAGGCAGAAAATATACTTCTAAACTACAATAAATAATCTAATCAAGACAAGTTGACGAATAAAAAGTATTGTATGGAATAATGTTGATAGATTGTGATTATTTGACATTTTTTCTATCTGGAATCAACCATTTCCACCTGCATTTAATAAAAAAACCTATAGCAACAACATAAATGACTAATTGAACAAGAATAGTTATTTATATTAAACTGATTTCGGTAAATAGTTTTTTGAAGCATCCACATTAAAACATGACATGGAGCTGTTATTACTGTGAAATGAATTAGAAATGTGTTATAATCAAACAACCACTTATGTACAACTCTCTTTGAAGATGTTCGAGTGGCAACCTCATGGCTTTTTTGGGTCAAATTAATATATATAATTTAAAAAAACCTTATCTATTGGCTTTCCCAGATTGAAAAAAATGTTAATCACACTCTACTGCTATCATAATTGTGATGCATTACATAACATAAATGTTTAATTGTATAGGTTTGTCAAATTGCTCACAGTGAGGTAATCAACCCTAATGCTCATTTATGAACAGGATGACTCACGCTGTCCTTTTAGCTCAGCCACGCCACCAAACTCTTTCTTGAATCTGACAGCGATCCCTGCCCCCATGCGGAAGTCCTGGCTGATGCAGTGGGCCAGGGACTCGTCTTTGGAGCAGGAGAAGAGATTTCCACTGACATAAGTGATGCTCCAGGTGTCGTATGAAAACTGGGCAGCAGGGGGCGGTGTTGTAGCGTGAATCCACTACGCAGAGACATTTGCATATACATGGATCAGACAGACACAAGGTAAACAAACACCACAGACGACCACATAACATGGACAGAAGAATCAAATAAGTCAAATCTATACGTTTTACCTGAGGCAACGTCGTTTGGTAACATGCTTTGATACCAGACATTATTAACGATGAGGAGTGTGTCGTTTGGAGCCCTGGACGTGACAAGTAACAACAAGACTTCACTACTTTACCGATACGAAAGTCCCCAGAACACCTAGTCAAGGGCAGCATACCGGTCCTTTTACCACGGGGAAAGCATGGTAATATACGGTGAAAAAGCACATAATCAAACTGCTGTATTTTCTACCTGCACAAACAGGAAGTAAGCTGCGGATCTATGGACCGTACGCGTCTCGCGAGAACACACACATATTTTTAAGAATACGTGTTATTTTCTGCCCTTAAAGCATATCATTTCTTAAGCAGAAGATATAGATTAATATTACAGGAGAAATTAAGGAGAAATTGTTTTTCTTTTTCCCACTCCACTTCAATCAATCAATCAACGTTTATTTGTAGAGCGCCTTTCCTACACAAGGCAACGCAAAGCGCCTCACAACCCATATAACATCATGCATAAATCATCAAACATTAGAATTTAAATAAACATAAAAAGACAGATTAAGAGCACAAGATATATAAAATCACACAAGTAGTTAAACACTGTAAAACATTAAAATCACACAAGGGATTACAATCATAAATAGTCATAGCGCATTAAAAAGATTAAAGATAAAAACAAATATAAAATCATTCACTTGTATGCACAGCTAAAAAGAACTGTTTTCAGTTCAGTTTTAAAAACTGCTAGAGTAGACGCCTGTCTCACACTCTCGGGAAGACGGTTCCAGACTCTAGCTACATGAATCTGAAACGCAGCATCCCTATGTCTACTTCCGACTCTTGGCACTAACAGAAGTCCAGTCCCTGTGCTCCTCAGAGCCCGAGTTGGTTCATATGGCACCAACATATCGCTAATTTACCCTGGTGCGAGGCCATGGAGAGACTTGTACACAAGTAAAGCTGTTTTAAAGTCTATTCTCTGAGCCACAGGAAGCCAGTGCAGAGACCTGAGGACCGGACTAATGTGGTCGTACTTCCTGGTTCAGGTCAGGACTCGAGCTGCAGCATTTTGGATGTACTGCAGCTGTTTTACCGCTTGTTTAGAGAGACCTGTGAACAAGCCATTGCAGTAGTCCAATCGACTGGAGACAAATGCGTGGATAAGAATCTCCAAGTCTGCTTTAGACACTATGTTTTTAATTTTAGCAATGTTTCTTAGGTGGAAGTAAGCTGATGATGTCATAGATGATATGTGGCTATTGAAATTTAAGTTTGAGTCCATTATTACTCCTAGATTTCTGACCTGAGTTGAGGGTTTTAGGGAGAGAGACTGGAGGTGGCAGATAACGCTCTCTCTTTGTTTTTGAGGTCCGAAAACAATAATTTCAGTTGTTTCTGTGTTTAGCTGGAGAAAGTTATTTTGCATCCAATCACTGATTTGTTGGATACAGTGAAGGAGCGAGTCCACTGGTCCATGTTCTCCTGCTGTCAGGGACACATAGACCTGAGTATCGTCAGCATAATTGTGATAGGACACGCTATTACTGTGTATATACCCAGAGGCAGCATGTAAATATTAAACAGGAGAGGCCCCAGGATTGATCCCTGTGGCACTCCGCAGGTTAGGGCCAGATGGTCTGAGATACAGTTTCCGATCTCCACAAAATACTTTCTGTGCTGTAGGTAGGACATAAACCAGCTTAGGGCTGTACCAGAAACACCAACCCAGTCCTCAAGTCTCTGAATGAGGATACCATGATCGACAGTGTCGAAAGCAGCACTTAAATCTAACAGGATAAGAACTGAGACTTTTCCTGCGTCAGTGTTAAGTCTGATGTCATTCGTTACCTTCACTAGAGCGGTCTCTGTGCTGTGGTGGGGTCTAAAACCAGACTGGAACATATCAAAAGAGTGATTGATTATTAAAAATTCTGTAAGTTGTTGATAGACAACCTTTTCTAGAATTTTACCCATGAAAGGCAGATTTGAAATGGGCCGATAACTTTTAAAGGGGACATATCATGAAAAATCCACTTTTTGTGCCTTAAATGCCTTATGTTGTGTAGTTGGAGCCTCTTTAAGTGCAAAAAAGTTTAAATCAGTCTCTTCATGGGTTGCAGAGAACACTTCATATTCTGTTTAGGTAAGATTTTTCAACCCGTTCTGATTTTGCCATTCTCTATTACGTGTTTAGAATCATTACGTCACAGTATTTGCAGCGGGACTGCTATATAAGTAAGTAAGTAAGTAAGTAAGTAATGTTTATTTATATACCGCCTTTCACAGACAAGGGTCACAAAGCGGTTTACAATTGTTATTATTATTTTTTTTAGGGCACTTGTCCTCTCACTCCACACAGAGATGGGAGCGGGGTCGCCGAACAGAAGGCGCATGCCAGATCTTTTTTACATATTTTTAGTGGTATGGGAAACCGGAGTACCCGGAGGAAACCTACGCAGACACGGGGAGAACATGCAAACTCCACTCAGAAAGGCCCTGTTCCGACCGGGATTTGAACCCAGGACCTTATATATAAGGGCATGGGCGTCTAACAAAACACTTCGGCCCAGCCCTCTTCTACTGTGCATCACTTCGAATTTGTAGTCCAAGCTCAAGGATGCCAGCGAACAGGGCTGGACTGGCCATCGGGCGTACCGGGCAATGACCAAAGGGCCGATGCCCATATTTGGGCCGGTCTGTCTGCCTCATACAAAACACATGTTTATGAGAAGTGTAAATCCGTTGAGAATTTTTCGAGCGGGGCGCGCGTATCCGCGGGGCACCTGCTGTATGTACTCGAACGGGATTCCGCCACCTCAGCGGCCGCAGTGTTCTGGGGCATCTGCGGCCGCTTTGTAATGAGCAGCTGCCGCGTCCAGCGGCTGCGAGAGGCTGTGAGCATCCAGCCGCTCGCAGCCGCTCCACCGTGTTGTGGCTGAGCGCGCAGCCTCAACGTGGCCATGTACCCAACCCCATAAACGCGCACAGGACCATGCGTGTCTTTGAGTAATCTGTGCACCCAATAAATACACTGCTGCAGGAAACAGTCCGCGTCTCCCCTCTCCTCTCGAAGCGCGATTAAACGCCCTAAATAAAGCTCTGATACCTACATTTTGCATTGCATTAAAAGTTCATGTTTGAGCCCAAAAGTAATATGTTGTGAACAAATTAAACAGATTTAGAGCCAGCAAATGGCTGACAATATGCATTTCAGTCTTTTTTGACCACTTCTCATCCCTGTAACAAACAATGTTTATTACCCTCTTGTAATGTAGACTATTGCATTTTATTTTATTGTTGAAACTGCACATATCCTGATCCTCTGCGGTATTTGCTTCCACTACTGTATAAACTAGGAGTCAGCAACCTGCGGCTCTGGAGGCGCATGCGTCTTTTTCCTTCAAAGGAAAAACGTTCTTAACGTTCTTAAATGCTGTAAAATTGTGCATAAGTAATATTCAATTTAAACATTTCTGTCAACGTAGTGCGTCTTATCCTGCGACGTAGGCCAGCGCCAGGCGGCCGCTGTTGTAAACAAACCGGCATGTGAGCTCTGCTTGTGTACAAGTCTCTCCATGGCCTCGCTCCAAAATATATTAGTGACATGTTAGTACCATACGAACCAGCCCGGACTCTGAGGAGCACAGGGACTGGACTCCTGTTAGTGCCCAGAGTCAGAACTAAACATGGGGAGGCTGCTTTTCAGATTCATGCTGCTAAAATCTGGAACAGTCTTCCTGAAGATGTGAGACAGGCCTCCTCTCTGACAATGTTTAAAACCAGGTTAAAGACAGTTCTGTTTAGCTGTGCATACAACTGAGGGATTTTATATGTTTATCTTTCTTTTTAATGTTGTGATATTATTTATGATTTTAATGTTTTCTTATTTTGTTCAGCACTTTGAATTGCCTTGTGTATGAATTGTGCTATATAAATAAACTTGCCTTTCCTTGCCTTGACTGTGCGCATGGATCCCAAAGCTAAAAAGAGAAGAGTCGATAATAAGACTGGACTAAGAATGAAAATTAACATTTGTTTTCAGTCAATGAGGAAGGACTCCTTCATGTTTGCGATGTAATGAGAAGTTTCTATGAGATAATTGTATCTGTGCTTAGAAACTACGAAAATGGCCGCTCGGGGTGGAGTTGAACCTGTGTCACCTGAATGGGGGCGTGATCAAAAGCGCCTCATTTGCATTTAAAGAGACAGCACCAAAACAGGTTGCTCTCAGACGCACCTCAGAACAGGTATAGAAGAAAGGCCCGTGGAGCTACAAATAATGAGACTCAGACCCAGGCATTGCAGTTACGCTTTATATAGGCCACAAATTAATGATTTAGATGTAAAAATCAATTATTTGAAAACACGATATCCAAGTGCCAAGGCATCTAGACTCCTCTTTTTTAGGAGGGGTCTGATGACTGCCGTTTTCAGGGTACTGAAGCTCATATGCAAATATGTAACGTTTCTTTTTCTGTGCACGGGTGCATTAATAATGTGATTTCTATTGTTAGGATTAGATAGCGATTTGAGCTACGGAGGACAACTGCAGGACTATACAAGGACTCTGATTATTTTGACTATGATGTGCACTGTCTCTGTGTGACACGTACGTCTTTCGATGTGTGACGTAACAATGACTATAAAACCATGTCTTGACTTTTGCTCTGTCTGAATCAACCACCATTTTTGTGAATAAACAACCAAGCTGGATGCACAGGATCCCAGTATGTCTGAGTCTAATTTCCCACACTATATTTGTTAATATAATCTGTCCACTGGTGCACCAATATACATTCATAGTAAATCTTAAAATCATTCCTCCAATAAACTTTTTAATCTACATATAATTTCCTTAATAATATTAAACAATTAATATAATCTTTTAATCGGTTTATATTATATTTGTGGTATATAAAATATAAAAAAATTGCTCTCTGCATGTAGTTCCCTATGCCACCACCAGGGAGAGGAGTTTATTTTATTTATTTATTTACAATGCAAACATTACATGCAGTAAACACAGCCATGCAGATGACTGTTGAAAGTAACATAACATAATAAAACTTTCCATACTTTTCCATTTTTGTTTTGCTGTAATGTGACAGAATAGAGACTAGAAATCACAAAAAGAAAACGACATGCCTTTGATGTTGATGTAAGTACAGTAATCACTAATTACGGTTCCATCATTGACAGTGATTACTCAAACAAAAGAAAAAACATGAGAATGAATATAAAGAAACCTTCATCCCCACCACTGTCAGACTTTACAACAAGTCACTTTAAGTCACTAATGACCTGCACTAGGACTGAAGAACCAGTACTGCTATTGCCACTTTTTATTGTGCATAATTATATCCTGCAGACAATATTTTCAACCTTAACATGTCTTTTGCACAATCTGAGTGATTCTATCTATGCCAAATGTGACATGTAAATTTCTCCGTTGTGAGATCAATAAAGTTTATCTTATCTTGAAATTTTCATGATGCCTTTATTCTTTATTCTAAACCAGATTAAAACAGTCGTATTGAACAGATTCGCACAAAAATTTGATCAGGAGTCTCCGCTGCGTCTCCGCTCTTCCCCGAGCCAGTCCCCAGGGTTCACATCCATCTGCAGCATCTTCATCACCCACTTATCCCTCCGTGCTCCGTCTATGAACTCATCCAGGGACAGCTCACCTGAGGGCACAGCCAAGCAACGGGAGGCTGCGGTTATCTCCAAGCATTTACACAGGCCAGTACAGAATGTGGGAAAAACTGAATTATTCTTGGTTTAACTTTAATATGCATTTTTGGCCTTCTGGGATTTTGCTATGATTCAAATGCGTGCAAACATTCACTGTTGTGCCTAAACCACAAAAAAAGCACATGTAGCCAGGACTGAAACAACATCAAAACAACTTCCAGAATCAGGACAAGTATAAGTCCTGCATGTTCTGTGCAATGACTTTGAATTACAAGTGGATTGCTTTCTTTGTAGAAGCTGTCTCACTGGAACAGATGTACCATGTGTGGACAAGAGTTAGTCCAATGATGAAAGCTCCCAGTACCTTTGTGAACTCTGTGACCAAAAGTGTGCACGGATATCTTTGGTACAACTGTATATAATGTATATAATCAAGTTTATACTGTAGCTAAATGTACAGAATTAATGTGGTCTCAAGGTCCAAGATGCATTATTTCAACTGGAGACAGGTTTATCTTAATTCCTTAAAATCTAAATTTTCCAGCTTTTTGGACCGACATTGAAATCGTGATGATTTTTTTGGATTTATGTTCAGGTCTTGCTTACAGTGCATGCATAAAAGAGTTAAATAAAAATAAAAAGAACACAGATTACAGCTAAGACTATAGAAACCCATTCATTTTTAGTGTGGGTAGCTTGGGTATAAAGGACAAAACTGCAAAGTTTTTTTCAGTGGTATAGTTAATATTTATGTTATAACTGATATTTGTGGACATCTCCACAGTTTTGGAGGAATAACTTTCTTTTGCACTTACTAGTATAAGACTAAAAATCCTAATTTACGTAAAATATTCTTCATTGAGTTTGTGTTTTTTGGCATTTTTTGCAGTTGCTTTTTGGACTTGAATTTGCTCATTTCACGAGCTATCTCAATTCGATTAGGATTTCATTCCAATGATTCCAATGATTCATCAGCCCTACACTAATCTTCCAACCAGTAGTCTTACCATCTCCATTTTCATCCACAAGCTCAAAAATGCGGTCCACCACTTGGTCCGGGGTCAGGAGATGGCACTCCTCGTCCAGCTCGCCGTGGCAGGCTTTCTTCAGCCGATATATGGACTGCAGCAGGAAAATACTGTTAGACCTCACTCTATGACGTCTTCTCATACACACAGCACATAATGGATCATTTCTTTACTACCTCCACAATTTCCAGGAGCTCCGTCTTGTCGATGCACCCGCTCCCATCTTTATCGTACATCTTGAAGGTCCATTTGAGTTTATGCTCCAGCTTGCCCCTCAGCACCAGGTTTAGAGCGGCGACATACTCCAGAAAGTCTATGGTGTTGTCCTGGGCATGGAGAGCAGAATACATCATTTTGGTGTGGGGATTAATAATAATAATAATTCATTTCTATAATAATTTTATTTCATGGTGCCTTTCAAGACACCCAATGGACGCCTTACAATATATTAAAAAAATCCACACACATTATAAAAAGTACAGAATATAAAACATTATAAAAAATAAGCCAGTTTATAAAGGTATGGGTTTTGAGATGTGATTTGAAATTGACATCTCAAAAAGAAGTTTCTACTTTTTAGTTTTTATTTAGATCCCCATTAGCTACTGAAATATACAATAGCTATTCTTCCTGGATGTCCACGAGAATGAATGTACAAAAAGGAATGTACAAACAAAAAATATGCTTGAACAAAAATACAGAAAGGACAAAAATAAAATTTCTTCTCACTCCCTTTTGTATATGAAATGAGACAATTTATTATTATAATTTTAAAGTTTGTTCATGATAAAATTCTTTATTTTTTATTATTTGTTTATTTTGGTGCTTTTGTTATGTATTTATATATACTTTTGTCTTTGAGTATCTTGTTTTGGTAAAGTTTAAAGTACAAAGAAAAAAATAAAATTATATGAAATACAGTATATGAAATATTGGAGCAGACGGGCCAAACCAATTATCAATACATACTCACCCCGTTCTTGTCAAAAGCTCGGAACATGTTCTCGATATAGTCAGCCGCTGCTTGGTTCTGTGTAACTCCAAAAAAGCTCTTGAATTCGTGCATGAATAAAGTCCCGCTTGGACATTCCACCACAAACTTCTTGTACCACTCCTGTAGCTCTGCCACGTCGATTTCTTGGTCTGGATCGCTCTCCTCACTCAGACGCTGACCCATTTTGAGAATAATTTCACAGCTGTTTCTACCCCTTGATCACATACATTATTCAGTTAAAAAAAATTGTTGAGAAAAGGCACCACTGGGCATATCTGGTTAAAAAAAATGTCTTTATCTTAGGGATGTTCTTAACCATTCTTGCAGGATGATCCGATGGGAGAGTAAAGGAGAGTCTGACCGTCTGGGTTTATTGCATGATAGGGATTAGGTATAAATACTTGTCATAATCAATTAGGAAATAAATCCTGATGTGCTTTTGGTAAACTCCTCCTCCTTATCATTATGTAACCATTCACTTTATACTTAAAGTTGAGGGACAAAACTTGCCCTGTGTCAAACTATAACCCAAATCTTTCTTTTTGATTTATCCACTTTGAATCAAAAAATGATATTCCTCAAATTATTATACTTATTTAACCTGGCACGGTCAATAATCTGGCCTGAATGCCATTTCAAAGGCAATTTGATGTTTTGCTTAGAATGTTTTAAATGTATTTTGCGGGTATTTCTATGGTATATGTATATATGTATATGGATATATATATATGGATATATGATATCATTGAATCTGTTTACAAGTGGGAACTCCCTATGACCCAATAGCTTCCTAACACAGTTCTGCTGACCACTGCATGGAGCTAATCATAGCTTATGAGTGTCAAGGCCGTTGTGTCACTGTTGTACAAATACAGACCCGTATCACGTTTTAATTATAATGTAACCTTTTCCATTAGGTCCCAGTATTAGGTGGGACGAACAATAAAACTTGCCATTATCAAAAAAAATCCTAAAAAGGTTCATGAGAATACTGTAAACAGGGCTGGGAAGCTTTTTTGACCTGTACTTATGATACATTTCTAGACACAGGGCTTTCAATTAGTTACAATTCACAACCTTATTTTTTTTTATTACACTAGGAGGCAAGAGCAGCTCTGTTAACTAACTTTTGAGCCTTTTTTGTCGTAGGTATGATAATAACAGATCCATGGTATGATCCTCAAGGTCACCTACACCTAAATTAATCTTTTAAATAATATATCAATAATACGTTACCTAAATGCTCCATCACATTTAAATATAACACTAATGCATTTATTGAAGATCAATTTTCATAAGGTCATAAAATACAATATAAACTGTACAATTGTATTTTAGAAATTGATATTACTTAAAACCTTGATATTGCATCCAATTTGAATATTCAAAATAAAATGTTACAGACCCCCTAACCCTAAATGTGTGTATTGTCAGTTATAAATAAAAGCTATTGTAAAAGTTAGAGAATGAATCTGAAGAGACAGTTTAGTCAAACCTCTATTTATCCAGTAAGGTTACATACTGCCAGAAATAAGTGGTGTCAAGTTTTTACAAAATTCATGTGCATATCAAGGGCAATTACAAATATGTATAAAAATGACTGAACTGTTGTCTTGTTAGTAGTTACAATAACCTACAAGTGAGACAAGCCATATACAGTACTAGTATCGTGTTTTGAATTATTAAAACAATATACAAAATTAGTAATCAAATTTAAATACACGGGTAAAAGAATAAAAATGAAAATAATAGGGTAATATTTTAACAGTGAAAAAGCCACATCTTTCTCAAAGTCTTAAATTCTTCCATTATGACCAGCCAATGTGCTTGTACTAAGAGGAAATGGGAGACTTCACATTGCCCCTGGTCTTGTAACGTAAAAGACCGCAGTGCTACAGAAATATACATTTGCTGTAATAATATACAGTGTAAACAGTCCAATGCAGGGTTGTGCTTTTGGTTTTCAGTCTTGTTCTTCTGCTTTATTTTCTGTTGTCGAGCTGTCTGAAGAGTCAACATCACTGTTGGTCAAATCTGAAGAATCTGGCTCCTCTCCACCTCCACTGTCACTGGTCTGTACTGCGTCTGCTTCAGAGTCTGCAATTGTCTCTGAGTGAGCATCGGCCTCTTGTCGATCCCCAGCTGCTTCCACAATCTCTGTTTTTGAATTCTTCTCTTCAGATGTCGTGCTCTGGTTTTCACAACTTTCTTCTGCAAACAAAAAGATCTTATTTTAATATAGTTTTTTAATATAGTCATGGTCTGGCACAGCCAATGTCAACTTGCTGGCTCGATTGAAGCCCTATCGGCTCTATCCACTTACAGTGGAAAGTAAACCCCTCACTCTATTATCGCTTGTGTCACACTCACTATTTTGGGATTTAAAAAATGCTTTAACACTCAAAGATCTGTGTGTCTTTATTAGATCTTGTCTTTAGAAATCCAGATATAACCCTTGGTAACTGACCAATCAGGGGCCTTATGTGGAACAGTGTAGTCTCACTCCTCTCTAGTTGCTAAGTAGTTGCTATCCTCAAAATTGGCTCCAGATTCCTGGTCATGGACTTGTTGAGCAGCTGCTAATCTACTTCTTTCTCAAAGGCAAATGTGTGATATCAGCACTCAGTCTGTCCACTCTTTTCTAAGGTCTATGGATTTTTTTTTTTAGAACACTAAAGTATGGCAGTTAATATAGGTTGTATAAGTAGTAAAAAATAAAAATAAAAATATTGCTCCTGTGGACTCACCACCTGCAGGAGGATCAGTGAGGGGCTTGTGCTATGTGTACTGGGTGCAGCTCTGACTGCCACCCCCCGACCCAGGAATGGATTAAAGGCACACCGTGTAACTCTTGGCCACTAGGGGCGCTAGACCTGCAACTTTCACGTTTAGCGCCCCTAGTGGCCACAAGCAACTCAGCACTGTCGCAAAAGTCAACAAACAGTCAGCCGGTGTCTTTTGAGTGTGTATTCAGACAGCATGCACTGGTGTGTGTGTTCAAACTGTAGAGACATGCCTACAGATATTGAGGGACTCTGCTGTGGTCAGCCTCCAGACCGCTGCATTAGTAATCTACCACACACGGACTTCTATATCCTGGATGAGGGAGTTCTGCGTCTAGCTCGTGCTGCGTGGAATGACATCTTTGCAGTCGATGACATCCAGGAACCAGGTGAAGAGCAGCGCTCATACAGACATGCAGCTTACAGCACGATCCCTTTCGCGTTTCCTCTTTTTAGCCTCCTCCGAAGGTTTAAAATTTTTCCTTGCCTCAGCCATGACCAGGAGTCGAGCAGGTGAAAAATGAGTAGCAAAAGCCTTAGCTCCATGAGTATATCAGCGCCTGTAGCCGTAAAGCAAGTCTTTCTTCCAAGTCACGTGACCTGGTGGCAGACGGTCCGTCTGCTCGAAACTTACATGGGCGGTATTTCAAGAGGGCAGCCCCGCTCGGAGCATTGCAAGTGTCAAGCGCTGTATATTGGCCCAAGTATTCATATAAAATAACTCATATGTGTCAACTCTTTAGGTCACAAAGTACGCGGTGTGCCTTTAAGGGGAAGAAAATGGATGGATGGATGGAAGTAGTAAAATAAAGTATTATACATTTATTTTAAAAACTACTAATTTAGTAATCAAATCACCAATCAGTAATTGGGTTTGAGAGGTCAGGAGAATACATTCTATGGCTCAAACAGACATGGGCCACATTTTAATTTCTGTTTCTTTTTAGATAATATAATCTTTAATCACACTCCTATCAGAATGCTATGAAGCATTTTCTGGGTCAACTTTAGTCATAATTTCATTCATGAATCGTTTTCATTTGCAAAACTAACTTTTTTTTTCTCTCTTTCTGTAACTCAAATTTTGTGAGAAGCACAATGTCACTTCCCCGACTGTAACTTCCCAAATCAAAAAGCCATTTTTCACTCACGTTGATTCCCTGAAATAGCAGGTGTCTGGCCTCGAGCAGCAGTGTGGTCTTCTTCAGGACTGGACAGCAGTGGTTCTGACAGACGCTCCAGCCCCTTCTCTTCAGCCTCACACTTCAACCTCTTCACCTCCGGACCCTCACCCTCCTCATCCTCCCTCTCCTCCTCATGCTTGTTTTTAGTCCTGACGTTTAGAGACACTTCCTCTTCTGATAACGCAGTATCACTACAATTACCAAAGACACACCAGAGATTCAATTTAGGGACTAACACTGCAACAAAACAAAACAAATGTTACCATTTAGTGGAATTAAGCAACATTTATTGTGATTTGAACACAATTTGACTATACTGAAACAAGATTTGCCAATTGAACAAGCAGCTTTAGCGCCATTTCAAGCACAGTTGTATTATCCCAAGTGAGAAACTGCAAACAACTCTATTTGTTTTAATTTTTGTATTTTCAAGATAAAACAAAATATATATAATTAACTTACTTTTCCTTTTTATCTGAACATTGAACACATATTTTTCAAGTGTCCTCAACTTCTACCATATGACTGTATACAATTAAGATTTTAATTGGATTTAACCAAGAAAGTCCCATTGAGATGAAGATTCTTTTTTTCAAAAGGTAAACGTGTTTAAAATGTGTAAATTGTACGTTGTGACCCTTTTACTCCCAAACAGAAAAGTATGTTGTAATTTTTTTTTTCTTAGCCAGATTCAAATATGTGTTTTAATGTTCATATAAAACATATAAAACAGATTATACCTGATTTGATCTTCCGGTTTCTCTGTTGTCATCTTGCTCTCTTGACCCTCTGGGAGCCCATTGGACGAAAACGAAGATGCCAAAACCAGCCTGGATCTGTTTAGTAGTTTTGTACTGCTTGGTCCATTGATGTTCCGACTGTTAAAACGGAAAAATAGGAACCTATGATTAAAAAAAATGCAATCCCTAATAAATGACCCTTTTACCTACCTTTCTGAATATTGGGAATCACCCTGAAACATCACCCCATTCATTCTGCTCGCATGTACTGACCCATTTTTCCTGCACAATTTAAAACATAATTATACAACGATGAACATCAAGATTATTCACAGGGCAAAAAATGTAGATAACAAAAACGTTAGAATATAAAATAATGGCTCTTACTCTGATGTAGTAAATAAACAGCTGACGACCATGACATTCTGCAATGGAAAACATAAAACATGAGTCCATAGACATCACACAGAATGCTATAAGCAACACTTACCTTCTCCAAGCCCCTGAGAAATTTCCCAGTTCCTGAATAATTTCGTTTAGGGTCTGCCAAAAGTTCACATAGTCGCTGAATAGTGAATGGAATCCTGTAAAAAATACCATAAAACATACTTTTTAACACACCAACAACAATAAACTTTTATCACTGCAGAATATTTCCTCATGGATTTCTGATAATGTGCAACCACAACAATGAATAGGGTGAAAGGGAACAGTTACTGGAAGAGACTTAATCTGACAAGGAAATTCCCCGCACTACATTCAAACTGTGTCCTACTCTGTGAATGCAGGAAACCCTTGGATCAGGAAGTACATTATCACTTTCAATGATGGGCAAGTCCTGGCTCAGTCCTCATTCACAAACTGCACTCATGGGGCAGCTCATATCTGTGTGAATATTGACTGTTTTTGGACGCTTTAAAAGATCAAAAACAGAGCTTAGACTCAAGTCTCCGCTCTTTCGCAAACAGTAACTGCTGAGCGGGGGGCGGAGACAAAAGACTGTCCAAACAGCAACTATTGGTGCTTTTTCTCCTCTGCTGATCTCGCGGTGGCATAGTATCAAAACAAAACTCTTTCGATCTTATGTAACAAAAACGTGCATTACATTGGATCGAAAGAAGAAGATGAGTAAATATTACCCAGTTTTCTTTTTTAATGCCTTACATTACTGTATTACAGCAAAAAGTAATACATTACAGGGATTGCACTACTTTTTTAAGTCAATATCCCCCACACTGATCAGTTTTAAACAGCCTGTAATTGTTCTACATCTGTTTTGTAATGTCAAAGACGTCAAATGTTGAGCAGATACTAATACAAAACTCAAATAAATAAATTGCATAACAAATCAAAATAATGTTAAACAATCTTTCTGTACTTACCCGTTGTAACCATCAACTATTTTTAGAATTCTGTTCTTCATCTCCTCGAAGGTTACATGCTCAACATTCGGGTTATCTGTAAGTCTCTGCTCTGGCGCTGAGGCATGAAAACTATCCATGATGCTTTCCAACTTAAACATGAAGTAGGGTTTAAATTCTGTCCATGAAAGCCTAAAGGGGACAGAGGGAGAAGACAAAACAAGTTCAAAGGAGTTGACAGTAATTTCCCCATGTTAATAATCCAATATAATATGTTATGGTTTTATTAATTCATAAACCATAACAGTTTGATCAAAGACATAGATGCTACTCACAGTGGTTCTCCAGTCTTGGCCACATGACATAGGAATTGTTCTAGAAGTGGAATAGTCTCTTTCTTGCCTCTCTTCTCAAAATCTATAAGCAAAAGAATTATAAGAAGAATTATTATAGAATTAGTAACTGTGGTGGTCCACTACATATACACAGACATACATCCCAATAAATAAGTATCGTACAACTTTCTCAAAAGCAAAAACACATGCTCGTATTTATTCAATTGGCCGACATGATCTAAAAAGTAACTTCATTAAATCTCAAGAAGACATATTAACAGGAACTTAGTTAGATCATTTTAACAAGAGAACAGAACCAATCAATTAAAGCTACTCTCACGAAGTTTACAATCGATGGTTGTAGCGAGGCTAATTGCGACAGCGAGGCTACCAAACAGGTAATAATAGTGCCTCTTTTTTATAAACAAACGCGCTAGCCAATGATTCTAATGTTTTCATATACGTCTGTCATTGCCTTTAAGCGCTTCCAGTACTGAGGTGATGTCCATTTTTGAGCCCAGGTCGACATAAGCAGAAGATACTCGCTGTTAGCACGAGTAGCATGTAGCAAATCAACAAAGCTGGCGATGGAGCTCACTGCGCATGTGCAAGCGACTGACGCAGTTCCAATTCAGGAAGTGGAGTTTTTGACAACAATAAAAACGTTTTCGCTCGTTCGTTTTTACAGTCATTATTTTGGCAACGTGACTAGAGACCAAGACAACTGCTTTCACTGGAATCCACGCTGTGTTTTTGAGTACAATTTCATCATAAAGGTCGGGAAACTTCTGGGTCATTCTGCTTGGCGGTAGACACAGACAGACAGTAGGCGTCATACTTGTTTTTTTTGGATGTTGTGACGGCGCAACCCGGTGAAGAGCCAATGAGTCGGCAGCTGATCAGAGTTAAATTTACCTAACAACCTGCATATAATTCACGGTAAGTCTTCAAGGGGACAAGATCGCTCCAGAGATCACAGAGGATCGGAGAAGTGTTTGGCCAGGATAGCGAACACAACACAATGGCAGTACAAGCCACTGTCCCGATTCAACTGGGCACACCGTCTCATCGCCTCCTCGAGCAAAAAATCCACGAAAGAGATTTGGGAAGAATGACAAGAAGCGCTGATGTTGTTGATATCCTTCCCCTGCATTCATCGTGGACGTTTTGGCTTGACAGGTAGGCAGGATCTCTGTTTTTAAATAATAACACATATTTGTCTTATCCTTTAAAAATAAATACTTAACTAGCTAGATCACGTGTTCTTGGCTTGTCCCTGGAAATACGGGGAAGAAAGTAAAATGGGATAATATGGGGAAACATCTAACGTGTACTATTTTGAAATCCACGTTTAAACTTGTGGCTCATTGGCCTACATACTTGGTGACCTAATTTCTGAGAGCGGGAACCTTGTCAGGATCTTGACATAACCAAGCATGACTGGTCATATTTTTATGACTAAAACATCCTCATCCTATAGACTCACCACTGAACAGGCATACATGATAGTATTGATGGACTGTATATGTCTTATTATTGACAAGTAAACTGGGGTTACACTTTGTTATACAACGTGACTTGGGTTTCACAAGCTTGATTACGAGTCACCTGCCTCTTGGTTCCATTGAGGTCAATGTTGTTTACTGTTTTCTTGTCTATTGCCATTTGATCCCCTCACTTTCACTAGGCAGTTCTCTGAACTCATTCGTCATCTTGATGTTTCGTTTTAACATGTGATTGTTTACACGTTTTTGTTTTTTGTAGATCTTTACCTGGAACAACAGCTGCTGAATGTGAATCCAACTTAAAGAAGATCTACACGGTGGACACAGTCCAGGTAAAGGACCTCTGTCTCTGTTTTCTCTGCTTGACAGATCAATCTTTATTCTCCTCTTATCTTTGCCTATATTTATTAATATCTATTTTTTTGTAGGATTTTTGGAGAGTTTACAACAATATCCCAAATGTTCCAAGCTTGCCTTTACGCTGTAGCTATCATATGATGAGAGGGGAAAGAAAGCCACTGTGGTAAGTTTGATATAAGCAGTTATTAGAATATCTGGTTATCGGTTTATTACTTTTAACTTACTTTAATTTTATTTTCTAGGGAAGAAGAAAGTAATGCTAAAGGTGGTGTTTGGAAAATGAAAGTACCAAAAGAATACACGGTTGGTATAATTTTTTTTTTTTTTTTTTTTTAAATATGCTTTATTTGAAATAATGTCTTGACCCATGACCTATACATTTTTGTTTCCATTTTTATCACAGGGTATTGTGTGGAAAGAGCTTTTATTGGCCACCATTGGTGAACAATTCAGTGATTACTGTGCTAATGGTATTTTAAACTAAATCTATGACTGTTGGTACTTTTGAAAGAGTATTAATAAATTGTGCATTTGTTTTTCAGATGATGAAGTGGTTGGTGTCAGTGTCAGTGTCAGGGACAGAGAAGACGTGATTCAAGTCTGGAATGGAAACGCATCTTATGTGAACGAGTCAACTGTTCTTGGGAAGATCTATGAGCTGCTCCCACAAATCTCATTTAAAGCTGTCTTTTACAAACGTAAGTATTTAGAGACATGACTTTGGAGATTGACAGTAAAAAAATGTAATGACTTTTTTCTTGTTTTTATAGCTCACATGGAACACCATGCTTTTGAAGGAGGTCGATCAAGACATTAGCAGGTTTTATGTCACACTCAAAAGTAGTTTGCCTGCCCCAACACATTTAGAGATGTGTTTTAGTATTATCCAATATTTTTTAGATTGTTTGGTTATTATTGTGACCTTCTATCAGTTGTGTTGTTCACCCTGAACCTCTTTCTTTGATCTATTGCACAGTCAGTGTTTCTGTAATATTTGCCTACTCCAGCCAAAGCCACATGTTTGTACATTAGCTTTGTAACATAGCTATAGCGTGTATAATTTCTGTAAAAAATGCTATCTTGATTTTTAAAACACTGATTAACTGAAGAGTTATCAGATGTTTTCAGACTTTTCTATGGTACTATCTGATATTTTCTCTACTGTAGTGATCATAGTAAACCATGTCAAATAAGTTTAATTAATGGTTTCAGCACAATCTGCTAAGATGTTTAATATATTGATTTTAGTTTTTACTTTTTAATAATGCACTTTCTTTTAACCTTGTTCTTATCTAGGGATTTTTTTATGCATAGAGATTCACATTTGAAATTCTTGAATCAACAAAACATAACATCCATACCAAATTTGTAGTTATGTTTTATGTTTAAAATGATCTCATCATGTGGACAACAATCGGCAAGTATTCTTGTTTAATTTGATGGAAAAAAGTTAATGTCTCTAACAATCATGACTTGTAAAAGTGAATTACCTTTGTGTTTGACCTTCATTGTTGTGTAATGTTGTCAATAGGCTCAATCTGTACACTTGTACACGTAAAAATGCATACCCTACTAAACCTTTGCACATGTACAGTTGCCTGCAGTCCTCACCAGGATCTTTGACCTCAGAAGCAAACTTTGAAATGTGCCTTGTGTTTTGCAGTTATTACGAATGTAAATTTGTTAAGCTTGTCTTGTATGTAACTTTTACTTTGTAAGTTTTACACATTTCTAAAATAAAGGACTCTTGTTCACTGAGTTTTTCTGCACTGCTTTTATTTTTACACCGCACCAATGTTTCCAATGTTAAAATGTATTACATTCTTTATGTGTAAAATACCTTAGCTGTCATCAAGGCAAATACTTTTTATTAATACACAAATGTCTCCCTCTTGTGGATAAGAAGTGTATTAACGTTATCTTTTAAAAATATCGGCTTTATCCTTATATTAATACATTTGTATATATTTTTATCACACAAAATCTGTGTTCCCCTCTTTAAATTAATATAGGTAAAATATTACATTAGAAAGCGTTGAGACTCGGCTGTGACGACGGCCCCTCGTGTGCTCATGACGTCACCTTTGTTTACTTTTACCTAGGCCCCGCCCCCGTTAGCACTTGTGGCTAGCGCCGCCGCTGCTGCTGCCAGAGACCACTGTTCCGAGATTTGTCTTCACTCAGCAGCCTGGGTTAAAGATCCTCCACGCCTGCATCAGTCCGTGAGTAAATCAGCTTTTAAGCCTAATCGGCAATTTTAAATAAGATTTATATTTACCTTATTACTCATTTGTTGTTCTCCACTGGTTAGGAAAGAATAAGAGTTGTTCTCGTGGGCTAGCGCTGACATCGTTCTGTCTGCTAGCTTTTGTTACATCGCCAAAACATCTTTCACGAAAGCACAATTAAACTATTCTCAGCACTAACTCAATTTATCCTCTTTATGTGTTTGTGTCCCTGTCATTTCAGTGTAGCTAGTGAACGCATTCGATCTATAAACGCCCTGCTTCGTTTGATTCTCGTCTGTTTTGGGCACTATGAGCGCTACTAACACCAGAGACTGCAGCCAGCCCTGCACTGTATGCGGGGTTCACTTGTATTTTATTGCATATCTGTTTTGTTGGGCCTGTTTGTATCATTTGAATACAGACGAGTTGGGCTGTTGGTGGTCATAACTTTCGTTATCTGTACATCTAACTGTAGGTCTATACTCCCGGATTTAACACATTTGTTTAATTTAATCCATGTTTCTCTCTTGAGCTTGCGTTTGCCTGTTCAGTGAGGGGTGACAAGTTCTGTGACAATACAACTAAACATAACCCAAATAATCCTCGAGTTAGTATAACGACTCATTTATAATACACTTCTCTGTGTATCTTTAGTGAGTTGCATAGCTTGGTGATTCATTTCATCCAACATCACATTCTGCTGGCACACTGCATGAAACCATTCAAACAGATCTGTCCAACATGTAGAAACATAGTTTATTTACAGTAGGCGAAACTTATGTATTGAGAATCAAAATCACGGATTTGGACTTATGAACACGTGCAGTGTATTTTATATTGTGTAGTTGTATGTTCTATAATTTGATTAACACTGCATATTATAACATGTAGTCATCCTCTAAACTAGGGTTTAATCTAAAGGGACATTTCTGAAATTTTCTGGTTTATAAACATTGAACCTGAGCCAAGCTACAGTTGGTGCTTCCTGATGCATTGTCCTACATCAAGATAAGATCGTCTGAGTAATATCAAGATAGTGCAAAGACATTTATTGAGATTTTTTGTGTGTTCATATTGCCCTGCCCTAAAATGTTATGTTTTCATATCACATTTAGTGATAACTGCAATTGTTTATGTGAAGCTTAGTATTATTTTGTTACAAGTCATGGGATAGTTTATGAAAGCACTGAACCCTCACATGTCACATCAAAGTGGAATCATAAAGTTACTACAAATATCTGTTGGTCCAACTATAAGAATTGGCAGTGTAGCGTTATTGTTTTTTGTGTGTTTTTTTCCACACAAAAGTCTGTTATCCCGGATGCCTACAGGAAACTCTGCCCTTTGTCTTTGCGTCGAAGTGTGCAACCCTGAAAGCAAAAGTCTGCGGCAGGTTATATGGAAACTAGATTCACTACTGGACCCAGCTGTAAAGTCATACTACTAAAGAAACTGATTTTACCACAACCAGAACTGGCACCAAATAGTCGTCTTTAGTAGTTTTCTTACATTTTCTTCCAGCTTATTGTCTATTTTAGAGTTTGCACCGTGAGAGTGAAGACACATTGCATGCGTTGTAGTTGTAGGTTCCAGGACATTTGCTTTCATGTGATAGTTCTGTCAGCGCTCTTTATTTATTTGCCTTGGTTATTTACCTTTGTTTATTCTGCTGCAGTGTTTGACTCAGGCACTCCCTGGCTGTATACATAAAAGCCTACTTGTGCATTGTACTACCTGCCATGGACGTTTATCGCACCACCTGGTTAATGGCAAATTGTTCCAAGAGGAAGATATGTTTGCACATAAACATGGACCCAGGGCCCCTGTGTTTACAGTAGTCATGGCAGCACTCAGTTATTCAACAAATAGACTAAGCTTGATCCTTGCAGAGGGGAATGTTTGTCTTTGAAGATACAGCTTTAATTGTGCAGTTTCTATGCTCGCATTCAATAAAGCTTAGCTCTCAATGTAAAAAGTATTTTAAATTGTTTCATATTTGAGAGTTTTGTTCTACAAGGAAACGCGTTCAAGTCATGTACATATAAATCTTGTTATTTAGGTAATATAATCTGGGCATCATAATCTGTATAATCCTTTGCAGAGAACTGCATATCCTGTCTTCATGGAGTCGTATTCTGTCAAAAGCCTGCCTCTATTTAAACCTCTACTAACACAATATTGTTATTAATTATTTAATGCCTTTCTGTGGATGTGGAACACTCCAGGAAAAGCAAAAATATTTCCATAAAGATGAACAGGTGGCATATCCTCCACCAAAAAATCCTTTTAGATGAATTACTTTGTGAATTATTTGCATTGACTAATAGATAAAAGTTTATTTTTATATCCAGAAGTAAACGGTGAGTCAAATCTCCCATTTGGCTGATTAGGGCATGAAAAGGGCTTCTTTTCAGTAATGCCATTCATTCTAGATTGTGCACTTGTGTTGTTTAGACGACCAGGACTGTCTTCATTTGACTGCAGCAAAAACATAGCATAAATGGTAACCCCTGCTTATGTAGATCGAAACCATAATCAGTTCACATTTTAGATAAATAGATATCAATCCTGTTGGAAATGAATTTACTCAGCTGTTAAAAGAGCAGCCTCCCTTCAGCCTTTCATCTTGTATTGAGTGTGATATTCTGCTGTCCACCTCAAATTGTCTTCTAGTCTTGATGTAATCTCTGTTCACAGGTCAGTGACGTCCAGATGCATGAGACTGGGTCAGAACCAGCCAGCCACAGCATTCCAGCAAGTAAGATAGACAACGGGCACAACGGTGAGAATGAGAGTCGAGTGAGGGGCAGCCATACTCCCACGCAGGAGGCACCACGGGTCAGTATTTCAGCCAGACCACTACATCACACACACATACTATTACATACACACACACACACACTAATACAGGTTTGGCAAAAGTGGACGTAAACACTTGAAATGAATGTTTGCCGCTCACCCATAGTGCTACAAACACGTTCAAATTGAGTTAGAATTCCAGCAAATAGTGTAAGTGCTCTTATGTATAAATCCTTTGTCACTTAATAGTCTCTGAATCATTTAAAATTGGCTCTAATTTTTTTTCTCACATCTGAAAATCTCCATATTTTTTACTGATGGGCTTCTTGTAAATGCCAAAAGCTTTGTGAAGCAATTCCCAAGCTCTGCACTATGGCACACTCAACAGAACGAGGATAATTGAGTTTTAATTTTTATGACAATGCCATTATACTACAGTAGCGGTTTTAGATTTGTTCCCCTGACATTTAGTGCAGTCCCCGTAAAGCACGTCCTTATGTAGGTTCCTATAGGGGAGCTGCATGGGATGTGAGCAAAATGACTGTGAAAAAAGCATTGGACTCAAAGTCACATCCTGTTTAATTATTGTACTGACCCTTACCATCTCGTATTCACCTCAAAAACATCAACGTGTTATTGTTAGAATGCAAATGAGGAGAAATCGGTTGCGTTTGTGTGACATCACTACATTCCAAAGAGTGCAAATTGTGTTGGAGGGCAGCAGAAAAAAACATTTCCTGGTAACAATGGTAACTATCAAAGTCTAATATATTTTCCTTGAATTTCAGGACCAATCCACATGAAACAAAACCTGTCAAAGTTCCACATCTTTGTTGTATGACTATAGTTGATATGTACTAATTATTTTCTCGTAAAAGTGACTAGAAGTGGTGACGTATATCAAAAACATAACAGTCTACTCATAATCAAAGAAGGACCTGGGGAATAAAAACACATTTGGATATTTCAAAAATGACTTCTTTCTAGTATTGACATCTGCTTTCCAACTGTAATAGAATTCTCCGACATGAACATATGGAAGACAGACATTCCTTGCTTTTATAGATAGATGTGTCGTTATGTATTGACGATATCTTTTCTCCAGTGCGTCATGTTATTCTTTGCCTCCTGTTTGCTTATTTCTTTTTGATTAAATTGACTTGTAAGGTTTATAAAATCCGCGTTCACTTCCATCCTTGGTCAGTATGCGTCCCATTCAGCTTCCCACCCTTTTACAGACTACAAAAAAAACAAGCCTGCTATCTCCCTATGTGTGCCATGTTTGTTTTTGGAATATTCTTGTCTGATCGCACCAGTTAATCCTTGTCACTAGTCTACACACAGCCATCCTCGTTGTTCAGGCTGTTTTTGAAATGAAAAGTCTGAGTATCTGTGGTGCATCATGATCACTTATTTATAGAAAAACACAGTGCGGACCATGTTTGGGTAGATTTCAGTGGGTCGTTCTGCTCTGGAGTACAGTAAGATCCAGCTGCAGCCGTCTGCTGTGTGTGAATAACAATAACAGCACATTCATGGTGAGTTAGTGCTCCTGCCGCCATCTTCAAACGCCATGTATTAAACCACAACATGTTTTTGCACAAGTGCCTCTTTTTCAAATCTATGTACTTTTCTCTGTTGTTTCATTATTTGGGATAAGAATCTAGATTTTTTTTTTGGTCACAATAAATTATTTTGATGGATGATATCTGGCTGATTGTGATAAACTTTGCGTTATATGTAAAGTGTGTTTTAAATAAGATGCATTATTATGAAACAATACTATTCAAACTGCTACTATCACAACTGCCACTACTCCTACTGCCACAGATGCATGTACAATACAGCAAAGGAGGTTTATTTGTATAGCACAGTTCATACACAAGGCAACTAGTGCAAAAGAGAAGAAATATTAAGATCAATAGTCCTAGTAAGACCATTTTTAAAATGTGTCTCTTAATTTAGAAAGCATTAACGGCAGAAATGAGCAATGATTAGAAGGGGTGTGCTACAAATAGAGATTAGGTTTTTAAAAATTAGATATTTATTGTTTTTTCAAAATAAGAGGGTTAATTTTTTTTACTTTTGCTTTACTTGATTTAGATTTTTTTTTGGTCTTTTTGTTCATTCATTCATTTTCATCCCCTTTTATTAATCCATTTCTGGGTTGGGGGAGTAACGATCAGAGCTGCCATCCAATGCTCAAGTCTTTTTCTGGGTTCTTCTAAAACATGTTTAATAACTATAAATGTTTTTATAGTAGTTTAAAATTTTTTTTTCCTGAATCATATAGTTTAGAAATGCATATCGAATCATATTGAATTGAAAACCCTGTTTTTCGGTCTCTATCATAACGAGATACCTATCGCATCAGCAGGCTCCGAATGACCCCCAGCCCTAATATTCAGTTTTGTTGAACCTTCTACAGCTAAAACTCCACCATCTCTCCAGGTTTGCAAAGAACATGTATGGACAAAACTGTATTCTTTTTCCATCAGTTATTCAACAATGTTGATGTATAGTAATTGTTATGACCGACATACCCAACCCTAATCCAGTATGGTCCAGTTCACACATAGTTCATTCATTGGTCTTTTCCTCAGTTTAAATCCAGGGGTAATTTCTCCCGACACAAGTGATACAAGTATAAACATTTTAGTGAATGTATTTGCCATCAGAAGGCTTTTTGGTTGACCTGTGATTGTCCTATTGACTTGTGTCCCTTTGAGCAGCTCTATAGCAGAGGCTCATTGGCTCTTACTTCTTACTTGATACCGACAGGGCAGTGGGGTGGGGGTAGCCTGGTTGTATCATACCTTAGTACAAATTTCATTTCATACTACTGCTACATGCAGTGAAATGATGATTGAGCGGAGTGTACGGATGGCTATGACCAGGCTAGGGTGGGGGAGGTGATGTGGAGGCTTGGGAAGGGGAGGGAGAAGCTAACGCACGCTGGGCGGAGGGATCAGTGCTTTATTGTTAGTTTTGTTGATACTGAGCGGGTTAGGCTGTCAGACCACATTAGTTCTTTTAAAACAATGTAAGTTAGTATGTAAACTGGAGTTTTGAATATGTTTCCAATGGCTGAACATATCCTGTTACTTCATTCGGCTGTGTTATATTATTCTATTTAACCATAAATAAGTAGTTTGCTTGGTCATTGTGAGTAAGGGTTGCTTTGTCTGAAATAGTTGTTATTGTTGGATAGTCCTGAGAACAGAGGATATTGACCTCTTAATTTGTTACTATTCACATTGTGGAGCTATATCTAAAAGTGTGTTTCAAAATGCAGACGGTGTTTTGTGGTATTTCTCTTGGACTGTCAGTCATACAAGAGTTCACAGGACCAGTCTTGCGGGAACAGATTTGTGTTTACACTCTGTTGCTCACTGCTACGACTTCGACAATAACAACAACAGAAGATGTTTGGACTTGCTGGCTGCCATGGTAACGGGGATTAGGCAAGGTTGTTGTTGTGTTGATGGTGTCCACAGAAAAATAGAGAGGCCAACAGGCTCGGGCTGGGAGAGACCTGTTTCCAGCGCTTTAGCTGCCACCTCTGCAGCGTTGGATTTCATAAGAAAGGACAAACTAGGAAGCTGCAGTCTGTTATTGTTCACCCAAAGCCTGTGTGAATTTCACTGTCAGTTTGTTTACTCAATTCAAAACAGGCTCTGCCTTGCAGAAAGATGTTTGTTTGTGGTTCAGACCTTAATTAAAATACGAGGCTCAAATTCTGTTTTAGTAAACAGGCTCTGTGTGCTTTTTTATTCATTATTTATATCTCAGTGCAATTTTTGATTACTCTGTTTGTGTTGACTGTAAACAGGCTGAGAGCCGGGAGGCTTGTTGCAGGGAGAGCATGATAATTGCCTGATGCTGAAGCAAAGGGCGCAGTTGTTGTTGTTTTCGTGATGTGGGTTGTTGTTGTTTTGAAGGAATTTGAATTCCCCAGGGCGCTCTGCAGCTTGTGATGTTTGAGACTATTTCAGTGGAAACAGCAGCATGTTTAGCCAAACTGACCAATAAAGTGAAGGAGACTGACAGTTGCAAAGTGCTTGTCTGAGTTTGATCCTTTTTAAATGAACAGTCATGAACACAATTCTGTCTTCTCCTTCTGTTGCCTAAAATATGACTTGGTTCGTTTGTGTAACTGGCAGCTTTTAACACCAGATGCTCCTTTACAGTCAGACTCTATCAATAGTAAACATGCTTATCAGGGTTTAGGACAAGAACAAGTGTGCACTTGGTGACCGTGGCTAATAAAGTTGTACATATATCATCTGTGCGTGTGTGTGTGCGCAGGTCCCAGTGTCTCTGTCGATGATGACCCCTCCAGCTGAAGCTCCTCAACAGTTCCAAGCTTCTTCACAGCAGCAGATCCTCAGTCCACAGCAGCTGCAGGCTCTGCTGCAGCAACAGAAAGCACTCATGTTACACCAGGTAGGGGCTCATTTAAGATCACCTTATACTCACCATCACTGTACGATCAAAGATTGTCTTCTTTCTGTCAGTAATAAATGTAGTTTTGCAATTATAGTGTCACTTTCCATCACTCTTCATTTCAAACTCTCAGACCTCAATCATATATATTGATGTAATCTAAAATGACACTTTGCACAAGTGATTGCTTACGCCATGCCGCTCACATATTTCTTTTTCTCTCGCTGTCATTAGCAACAAATTCAAGATGTCTTCAAGACTCAGCAGGAGCAACTTAATCTCCAGTTGCTACAGCACAAGAATGTTGGAATTGGTAATCAGGAGGTAATTATTAGAAACATTTTTGGTCCTGTTAGTTACAAGATGGCAATGGCAAATGGCACCCCCTACCCCTAGACTAAAACATTATATACAAGTACATAGACTTGGGATTGGCTGTGTGCAACGCCACCTATTAACAATGTAGTGATCAGAAACATATCATTTTGAGGTGAAGATTATTGGGTGTCTACTTTTCGTCATAGTGATGATGGAACATTGTTTTGTTTCAGTGCCCTGCTTGAACAAAAACTCTTGATCTTTAAATAGTTAATTACATTTGCTGATCACATTTGCAGAATTGGCTCAGGGATGGACTGCACATGACTTTGGGAGTGACTAGAACCATTAAAACTGCACTAAATCACCAACCAAAACAAATGATGCATACAATGTAGACTGTCCTAAAATGTTCATAAAGAAAAGTAAGAATCCTCCAGTAGGAAAATCTGAATATTTGTTCTCCCTGATCTAAGTCTTGCCTGTCTACCACAGGTTGAGAAACTGTGCTTTAGGAGAGGAATTTACTCTTTCCTTCTACATGTTTATTTTTCCTAGTCTTGTTTACTTGTTCCTCCCTCCCTCTTTGAAATGTTTCCCTTCTCAAAATCTGCACCCCACTATCTTTAAAGCTACAGCATGCAACCCTCTTCAATTTTCAGTGCAAATGAAAACATGTTTTTTTTTACAACTGTAACTACAATAGAATAGCTTGATAAAAAGAATTGAAAGAGAACAGCTGATATGGATGAACAACGAATGCTTGTTTAATGGAAGTTTTGTGGTTCTAAAAAAGACTGGTACAATATATCTTCAATTTCAACTAGCCAGTGCACTGGCACAAACAGGAGTCATGCCAGTCAAATGATTATGGGGCACTTAACAGCTGTTCGGGGGTGGAGAGGAACAATGGAGCACACTGACCTGGTAAACAAGTCCAGTGCAGGGCTGGATTAAGGCTGAACTCCTTAAAGCTGTATTCATTTTAAAGAACAGATCAGCACTGGATTGAAGACTGCTTGTTTGCTCATATTATTTTATAATGGACTAATATTGTCCTAAATCTGACCCAATGTAAAAGCATGGGATGGAAAGGTTGGCTATGTTCTTTCTTGACACTAATGGCTGCTGTCCATGTCCCGCAGCTCTCTCCTCTGGCCATCCAGCAGCAGCTGCTGCAGGTGCATCAGCATCATCTGCTGAACCTGCAGAGACAAGGCCTGCTCTCTGTGCTGCCCACCAGCACCTCTGCCCTCTCCAGTAAGAACCATCACACTCTGACACAACAACACGGCACAGTACACATGTTTATCTATATTAGTCTTTCTGAACACACTGCTATGGAATACACAATGGAATCCTGTTTACATAATTGTACAACACATCATTTTTAGCATCAAGATTTTTGGACTTAACTATGAGTTGACTGACTTGAAAAATAAACTTTCCTTTGGCAGCATACGGCATGTTTACTGTCATGCTTTGTCATGTGTCTTCATAAATTCCCAATTAAATAAACACAAACACACTTCATTTAACTTCAAACAAGAACACACATGAACAAAAGGCACAAACAAAGACATATTTGTGTTGATTATTTGTGTTTTGAATCAAATAATTACATTTCTATCAGATATATTCGGTTCCTGTGTACATGTCCAAACAGCAGTCAGTGTGTGTCTCTGCAGTATTCTCAGGCTGAATGAAAGTCACATGTTGCAGGTTGTGACAATGGCAGTGCTGTTGGTGCAGATACAAGGGAGTCTTCATCTCAGTCTGCCACCAACGGTCATCATCACCAGCTCCTCATGAAGAAAGAAAGGTACAGCATCTTGGACATTTGAACATTTTGGTGGCTATCCCATAATTTGATTTACTCTTATTAAACAATCCTTTTCTGAGTTCTGTCATTGTGGGTCCAGTTTGTAATTGTGGTCCAACAGATAACTATAGGAAGGGTGAAGGGGGACAGGTGTTATATTGGTAAAATTAAATCAAACCCTCTTATTAATGATCACTCTTGGCCACTACTTGCATGCAAAACCTAGATCCCGTCAGACCCCTGAAGATGCGCAGGGCAGGTCCGGGATGGGAGACCCCCGGAAACACCAGGTGCCACAGTGGGGCGGCTGCAAAGTGCCAAACTGTGGTTGTGTCCTTAGGCAAGACACTTCACCTATTGCCTAGAATGAGTCTGATGTGTGTGTGAATGGTTGGTGGTGGTCGGAGGGTCAGATGGCACATACTGGTTGCCTCGCTTCTGTCAGTAAGCCCCAGGGCAGCTGACCGGATTTAGTGAAAGAATTAGGACATCTTTGACTCTGGCGAGTATAGTTTAATGCAATAGTTCAATTCTCATAGATTCTGTTGTTATAATCTTTGTATGTGTGAAGCCAAATCATGGTTTATTGTATGTGTTTTATTTTAGTGGGTCTCAGGACGAGCACACTCAGGCCAGCCACGCTCTGTACGGGAACGGGATGTGCAAGTGGCCCGGCTGTGAGACTGTGTTTGGAGACTTTAATGCCTTTCTCAAGTGAGTGCTGTTGTTAGTTTGTTTTGTGCTTGTCTGCGCGGCGTGTTTGAACAACATACAGGACAGTGACCTTATTTCATGTCATCACACAAATCTGTTTACCTGCAGACATTTAAACAGTGAGCACACTCTGGACGACAAGAGCACCGCACAGTGCCGTGTGCAAATGCAAGTGGTTCAGCAGCTGGAGCTACAGGTGCGGACTAGAGCAGTGTTCCCCAACCGGGGGTACGTAGACCCCTGGGGGTAAGAGGTGGTGTTACATGGGTACTTGAAATGATGTTCAAAATATTTTATAGCAAAGGGGTTGATATAGGCTAATATGACGTGTTATACATCATTTTAAAGCTCATTTCCTCAAGAAAATAATAATGACATGTGTTGTAAATATTGAACACTATTGATAAAAACATTTTGTGATAAGTACTAATTTGGTCAAAAATCAATACATTTCAATAATGTTACCTTTATTTTAAAATTATTTGTTATCTGCTGGAAATAAATGAGCTACATTTTTCACAAAGGAAACAAGGAAGGCCTTGGTACCACAGGTTTAAAAACAGCTGTGATCGTGACCAAAATGAGTTGACCCTAGGGTACATACTCCTGCTTGGTCTACGCCAGCGAGGGGGGTACATGGGGGCAAAAAGGGTTGGAACTAGAGCTAAACTGAACCAGAGCTCAATCAATATGGGGCTATTACCAATAATTTGTACTTGCGGAGGCTGATAACTGGCAATTTCCTGTAAAAGTGATCCTCTAGGTGTCATCACTTTGAATGATAGTTCAAAAGTTCAACACCTACTTTGTTTAAATGCCTGATAAATATGTTTTTTTAACAAAACGAATAGGACAAAACATGGCTCTCACTGTACAGACTGGATGTTATGTAACAGCTGAACTGGAGAGATAAAGTGCTGGAGACTTTATGGGAAGGGTTCTATTAATGAAGTACATTTTGACCAAAATGAACTAAAGGAATCCGACAGTGTTTATATGCAGTAGAATATATTTTGTGGTCTGGCAGAGCTGCCGTGTTGCACAGTCGACTAATAAACGCTTGTGTTTCAGTTAGTTGGAATAGACTAAAAATAAATGCATTAAAAAATCTGCCTGGAGTATATTAAAACCCAGAGTATGAATGAGACTCCTTTTTAAAGATTATTCTTTCAGTTTTAAACATGTATAAAGTTTCTCCTCAGGTTTATGCTCCTCTCTGTAAATTATCACTGGTCTAAATGTGTTTTCGCACTGGAGCTTTAAACAGAAGTGATGACTGTATTGCACTTCTGAGAAAAGTAGTTCTGCACAAAATGGCGTTGTGTCATTGAATCCAAAGTGCTAACTCACAACTTGTGTTTCCAGTTAAAAAAGGACAAAGAGCGACTTCAAGCGATGATGGCTCATCTGAAGTCTTCGGAGCCCCGAGCCGCCGCACAGCCTGTGTGTATCTCTCTGACAGAAGTAGGGCTGCACCTTTTTGGCAAAATGATTAATCTGATTGCGATATTATATAAGAGATGAAGCCATTACCTCATACTGAAACTATGCTAACACATTTCAAAACATGTTTAGAGTTCTATAGTGCAACTATTAGTAGAATTACAAAAATATGGAATGAATATTTAAACTTTGATTGAAGTAGAATCTTTAATTTTTACAAAGTTCTCAGTCAGACACATTTTAATAGATTTTTATGAATTATGTAAACATTCAATTGACAAGTCTTGCAAATGAGCTCAAATCATTTCCAAATTCAAGTTGTATTTATATTAACTTCAGCCCCTTTTGTGATCGCAAAGAATTTTAACAATTGCAGTCTTTGCAAGTTTAATTGTGACCACAAAAGTTCGATTCCGATTGCGATAAATGGTGCAGCCCTCGGCATCAGCTTCTACCCTTCCACTCTCCTCATGAGACCAATAACACTCTTCATCTCTCTCTCTCTCTCTCGCAGGTGAATCTAGCGAGTTTGCAGAGCTTCTCCCAGTCGCCGCTTCCCAAAGCCGCTCCTCCCATGAGCCTGTCCCAGAGCGCCACCGCCCCCTCCACCCCCGTCACGCCTCACTCCGACTCCCCCTCCGTCCTCACCCCCAACAGCGTGTTCAGCGGGACCCCGGTGAGGAGGCGCTACAGCCGCTCTGTGAGCCAAGGTACTGGTACGTCTCCACCACCGACACAGGACTGCACCTTCAGCAGCGAGAATACTCTAATCTCATCTCACTTTGGTTATTTACGCTTTTGTTTTTCCAGATATCGTTGACAATAAAGAGTTTTACCTGAGCACAGAAGTCAGACCTCCGTTCACATATGCGTCGCTCATTAGACAGGTATTGCTTGGTGTATTTAAAGCTGGGGTGTCTAACTTTTGTGAACAACATCTGATTGGCTGAGTGAAGGATGGTACTTTTTTAACTGGAAAATCTGGTCTAAACATGTGACAGAGGACAACAGATTAACAGATCCTTTATTGGTCCCACAGAGGAGAAATTTCAGGGTTGCATCACAGTAGAAAAGAGTAGCACACAGCACAAGATACATGAATAATAACTCTATACTAAGTAAAATAAAAAACTCTTAACTCTTGTATGAAGAAGAAACACGTATAAAATCTCTATCTTTAGCATGATAAGATGTATAAAATCTCTACAAAATACATGCATGTGGAAACGGGTGATAAATTCAAACAGTTTTTTATAATTTTGTATTTAGTATTGAGTATTGTATTTAAATATAATTATTAAAACACAGCATAGGCACACACACATATATTTATACATATACAGTCCCAGGGCCGAAACCAAAACAAAATATGGAAATTTCTACAATTCAAAGAAATTGTCACTTTGGATGGTCTTACACACACTTAGCACTACTTTGGGATGATTTAATGAGTTAATATTATATCTCTCTCGTCTTGACAGGCCATTTTTGAATCGCCTCGCCAACAACTGACACTGAATGAGATCTACAACTGGTTTACTCGAAACTTTGCCTACTTCAGGCGAAATGCAGCTACTTGGAAGGTACTAATTATGCCTCTCTGCACATGTCATTATCTGTCAAAATCAATATTTACAGGAAAACCTTGTGGGGATTACATGTTTACCTAAATACTGTTTTCTTTTCACCCAACAGAACGCAGTTAGACACAACCTCAGCCTCCACAAATGCTTCGTCAGATTGGAAAATGTGAAGGGGGCCGTGTGGACGGTGGACGAGATCGAGTTTCACCGGAGACGGCCTCAGAAGACTGTGGGGAACGGGTAAGGAACAAAACATTGCTACCATGACTTGAAAGTTAATGGGTTTATTAGATTTTTATCAGAATCTATGGAAAATTAACCTCACAGAGACGGGATCTTTACGCACCAACGCCACCTGGAAGTTTATTCAGTTTCTCTCAGTTCTTTTCCCAGGTTTTTTCAGGCACAACAAAATCAGGATATGGTGTATATCGTCAACGTTTACCAATTTTTATTAGGAAAAGGATCATGACATTACATTACATTACATTACGACATTAAAAGGGGGCATACAGTCTTATTTTTTTGATTATTAAACAAAATGTGGTTATTTTATACCATTAAATGTCATAAAATGTAGTGAGTAGAATGTATCTGTTTGTTTTCTGAAAGCATTTGTTAATTTGTTCCAATTTGACTGTTCCATACCCATCCTCTATTGATGGTAGTGTTTGTAATGGATTTTTTACAAGCAGCTAAAACTGGACTTGAAAGTTTCAGTCCAATTAGTTTGTTCTTATTGGACTATAACTCGTCTCATCACGCAACAAAGCTGCTAATTCGTTTTCATCACCAAAGCATGCATTTTTGGACGGCTAAAATGATGTCGCACAAGTTGTTCTCTAAGCGTGAAGTATAAGCCGGGTGATAATTTTTTATATTAAAAATAACACTGACTCCTCTCTTTCCTTTGCAGAACTGTATTAAAGATTCCCCCGGGTCGACAGAGTGTGGCTGGCTCTGCTTCTCAGGTTTGGTTTTTTCCATTTTCTTTACTAAGTGCAAATTGTCACTTTACTATAGATTTTGAATCATTTTTGAATGTTCAATTTATTGGGTGGGACAATACGTTTATACCTTTTTGTAAACATAAAATATAGTTGTACATTAATAAGGTCATAAATAAACTTTCTGTTGCATTATTTGAAATGGGTTTTAAAAATAAATAAAAAAGTAAACTCAATCCACCCATGCTGTGATAGCTGGTTTGTGAAGAAAAGAGTAGATAAGGCAGAAGTTGTCTGTGCACACTGGTGACTTTGTGCTAATGTATTCCAATGTGGTTTTTTTTACGGAAAATGGCAGATAAACTGAATCTGAAGTTACTGGAAGTAGGAAGTTCTATCATGACATCGTTACAAGCAGTGACATATGCCAAGCCTTTGATTGTTAAGATTTTATCAGTACATTTTCAATATTGTTTTTTTTTGGGGGGGAGGGGGATTTTTACAAGCTGTGAACAAGCAAATTGTATTTATTTAGTTATTTGAATTTTGAAATTGCACTGGATAGACTACAGTTACAATTATTGGATGAAGCTTATAATACTCAAGCCTCCTCCAACATAACAAACAAAGGCTTGATTTGTGAATGAGTCACATATTATACATTAGTTCCAAGTTGACGATCCAGTGTCAAGGAAGTTAACAATTTTCCCCATGAAGTCATTCATGACATAAGCTGTTTGGGGCCAGTGTACAGTGTGATTTCATTGTTATAGCTTTGAAATTTGACTTTTACTTCCTGATTGTTTAAGAAATGTCTCATATGTCAAAATATGTACAGTGTATCTCAACTGTTTTTATTGTATTGGTCATTAGGCAACACAATCCACATCAAGATGTATTTCTGTAAAGGGAGTACACAAGACCTGTTTTATTTGTATAGAACAATTCATGCTACACATTCATAGCATCTCAAAGTGCTTTACAAAACATGAGGAAATATTCAAATCAGTCATTGGACCTGACACACATACACACACACCAACAGAGACACACACACACCCCCACAGAGTCACAGACACGCACAGAGACACGCATGCACACAGAGACACTCACCCACAGACACAGACACGCACAGAGAGACGCAGACAGACACACACAGAGACACACACATTTATCAAAGCCTCCTGCTGATGTCTTCTTGTTGTCCTTGTGTAGAGCCTGGGCCTGGACAGTGGCAGCCCCCTCTACACCAGTGCCTCCATGGGCAGCATCCCTCTGCATTCCCTGCCTCACGTTCTCCAGGAGCAGATGAACGGAGTCCTCGCCAACGGCTCCGGATACCAAAGCGACAGCAGCGCCACCCAGTCCCCTCCCCAGTCTTTGTAAGAACCAAACAGGACAATTACAGAACAGGCTCAGTCCATATGGGTCACTGAAGAGAACTGACCAAACCAGATTTGATAATTGATCTGATCATTCATATTTATGTTGTTCGCTATATTCAAATACATATTTCTATAATAATGATTCATATCAATATAGACTTAATGCTTGTAACCAAGTTTGATACAACAAGGATTTCAGATCTTCTTGTAATAATAGTAATAGTCTTTATGCAATATTTACATTTTTATAACGCCACATTTTCCAGTTATTCTAATTAAATTCAATATTGCTGCTGCTGGTGTTCAAGCTAAACTCCAGTCATGAACAAAAAGGGTTCAAACATCCAAAATGTATATCCAGGCTGAGTGAGTGATTTGTGAATGTGTGTTTGTCGGACAACAGGTGGAAATCAGCCCAAGATTCAGTCTGATGTATTCACAGAAACTTGAACTACACCAGATTCACACTGTTCCATTCAAGTGAACACATAATTTAAGAAATAATATAAATATAAGATAAGAGATTCTTAATTTGTCCCATACTGGGGAGACTTCAGTGGGAACAGTAGGAATGAAGAGCAGACAAGAGAAGTGAATATTAACAGTATTGCACAACAGAAGTATAGAATTAATAAAGAACTAATAAAGAAGAAGTATAGAATTCTGTATATTCTAGTGCAACCAATTTCAAGATTGTCTATTATCTCTGTGGGTTCAAATGTTCTCTCTGAATTCAATATAAAAATGACATAAACCGTATGTTAGTGTTTATTAATATCTGATTGTTGATATTTTTGACAACCCTAGTCTGCTACCATGGAGCTAATCCTACTCTAACCATCATATTGGACTGCCACATGTGTGAACTACAGCTTGGCATGTGTGGCACTAATAGAAAAATATAAAATATGAATGAATGAATTAAAGTTTGTTTGAAAATGGAAAGAAAACAACAGAAAAAACAACAATAAATACACAACAAAAAAGGAAATAAAATGTCAACAACAAGACATGTTCAAACGAAGTAGGAAGTAACCAAAGCTTATTAAATCCCACCCCTTCTTCCTTTTGTTACTTCAATATATTGTAATACGTTATAAAACAAATACTGTGAATTAGAACAACATTTACCTAAAGCACTTGGCATATTGCTGTACTGTTTTTTCTTTATACTTTTTTTTTTTTCACTATAGCTACATCAAAGAGGAACAGGAGGACGAGGAGATCTGCGACAACTACGCCTACGAATCTCCCGAGAGCAACGACGACCCGGTCCACAGCCCGGAGGGGATGCAGCAGGAGGACAGGAGCCCGCAGAGGCCCAGCTTTCACTTCGATCGCGTGCCTTCGCTCTGACTCAAAGGTCCCCGCTTCTGACAACTGCGACGCCGCCGGCTTGCAGTTTAGCCCGCCGTGACTTTGTTAACCCCCGAAAACACGGCCGCGATCACCTCGTACAATTTGATGACGTCCTAAAGTTCGCTGGAGAGAGAGAAAAAGAGAGAGAAGGACTGTGTAACTGCGGACGGGGGAGGTTTGAGAATGCTTTTTGAGATAAACTAATTTGGCTTTTAAAATGGTGGTCAGGCGGCTAAAGAGGAGGCTTTGTCAATCTGATGGAAATGCTTGCGTTTTCTTCAAGTCCACAATCTTGATTATCTTGCTTTCAATTTGGATTTAAAAGAGTTACACCAAGTACAGCCACTATCTTTATTTTTACAATTTCATTACATTATACTGTAAACTGCAGCAGTAGATCATGTTAGAGAGCGGCGGAATTGTTTCTCCTTCGCGTTAGAACGTGCGATGCCTCTGAATTATGAGTTCATCGTGGCGTAAGACCAAAAATAATCTACAACTTCATGAAAGAAAGAAGTAGCAAGGAAATGAGCAGAGGCATTGCAAAAAACATGAAATTTAGGCTTGACATGTTGGTCTTTTAGTTTTCGCTTAAAGGGGCAGTGCGTCATATTTTAATTTTAAATCACTGCTACATCTTTTACGGGCCCACAGATAACTGGTCACGTGTACAAATTTGAACTTATGTGAAGACAAGTTTAAAGTGTAGGTTTTCCTAATTAGAAATACAATGGACATGTAATTTGCATATTACCAATCAGAGAGTTGGATGAGGCACACACATGCAATGGCACCACACACTTGTTTTGAATGAACACCTGTTGGAATGTTGGAATGAACACCTGCAGCCGCGGCGGCCCTTTGAGGACCGGTTTGACGCCCTCTGGCTTTAGAGCCGCATGTGTCACAGGAGGATGATTGTGACAACTAATATGTGGTTGTAATTATACTGAATTTATTAGACCACAGAGACTGAATATTACATACTGTCCTTTTAAATGATCTGCATGTGTTGTTCTGCAGAGCGTTCTATTTACAGGGAGCGTAAGGGGGGGGGGGGGGGGGTAAGCCGCTTCTCCTACTTTCAGTTTTACACTCGGCACAAACACTCGAAGTATGCGTGGTCCGTCGATTGATGTGAAGTGGATTTTGAGAGCGTGAACGAGAAAGGGGAAACATTTCAAATGGATTTAACTTTTGACTTAGAAGGTTCTTTTAACAGAAAAGAGAAAAAATGCTAGGACTGACATGTTAATTATTACGCAGTACTAGCTTCTTTTACATATTTGCCTTATTGAAAGAACCTTCTAAGCCTTAACAAATAAATGTAAAAAGTTGATTTAGTCTTTTTATGTTTATTTTAGTTAGCATTGACTTCAGATTGACAATGACTTCCAGACGCCCGCTGAAACATTTCTATCTGAATGTTCTGATCAGCCGACAACATTTCACATTTCACTTTTATTATGAATTCAACAAAGGTCCTGAACTTGTATATTATGGATTTATAGACCATATGTTTTTTGGCCAGTATTTCCAGAGCTCAGAGAAAGCGGGGAAAGCTGATTTTCGGGCCAATTCTGTTTTTGTTGTTGTTGTATCCAATCACAGCTGGATACGGAGTGTTATGGGCATCACATGAACGCAACCCATTCTCAATTCCACTAGCGGAACCAAACATGATCTTGCTCATATTTTGTTTGTTTTTTTGTAAATAATAATTATCTTTTTAGGCTTGCCTTTTAATTTTCTCTGTACAGTAAACAGTCTTTTTGTATGTACTGTGCACATAAGAGCAGAGATGCCAAAGGAAAGGGAACATTGATGGTTAGCACTTCATTTTCCCCACTGTATATCAAACTGAAGACACTACCTGATTTTATTTTAGTAGATATTATTATATTATGATATATAGATGGAAAAAAGAGGAAATGGTCACTGCCAACTTAATCTATTGTAATTCATTTTTTATAATTACCTGATTCTAATCAAGTAGTTTCTTTCTAGCTTTTCCCCCTTGCTTGATTTCTGGGGATTGAGCTTAGAGGTGGTGCTACACTAGGTTTGCCGTTATTGTAAACAAATGCATCTCTATGAATAAATGCCTCATGTTTAATGTGCACAAGTAGATTTATTGTGTCTCTGCACCTGGTGTTTTGACTCGGCGCCATGGAAACGATGTTAACTGGGATTGCCGTTCAGTCATCTCTAGTGTTTTGACTTGGAGATGTGAAATAATAATAAATAATACATCTTTATTTTGTGTAGCAAATTTCAAAAACAGTTGTTAGAATATAAACGAGAAAAGAGGGTAAATACAGCAAGAAAGACAAAACAAAGACTATGTGGAAGAGTAAAATGCAACATGTAAAGTTTATAACAGACGGTTAAAGGTGGTTTGATTTAAAGTGTGTTTTAAGTGATTTTTAAAAAAGGACTTATGGTGCTAAGCATAAGTCCAGAGCCGAGGAGGCTAAGGCAATGCTAACTGGGATTGTGATTCGATCGTGTCTGTTGGTTGACAATGTAGTGATTTCACAGCTTGAACACATCAGAATCCATGTATTAGCAGTAAAAGTCAGCGTTCTCCTGCTAGCTAAACATTCTGTTTGCTTTAATCAGTTCTAGTTGTGCTCCGTGACCTTGGTTCCCAGAGACTTTCATATCTCTGGGTTACACACTTGCAACAAAGATGAAATCTATAGTAGCTAGTACTTTTAAATCACATTTTAATGGGAATGGCTTGTTTTAACAGATTTAACATTTATAATGTTAAAAAAGGGACTGCTTGCAGTAATAGTTTTGTTAATTTTATTTGACAGTTAGTCACAGAAAATAGAATAAAGTATGGTTTGAAAGGGAAAAAATTATATTCTATTGATTCCTTCTATGTAATTCCCTCCCAAAAATATGTTTCAAATATGTAATAAAGGAAGCACAAAGACAGGGAAAGAAAAAAAAATGCATTGTACACATTTCCAGTTAAATTGAATTGCTTAATTATTATAGTTGGTAAATGACATTCCTGCTGCCGTCCTGAGTGTGCGATCAGAGAGGCCAGAGCTGGTGCTATCGTCACTTCCTTGACACTGGATCTGCAGCAGTGATATTTGTGTGGTTGTGTATGCGTTGTATGGAGACTGGTCAGGAGACATGTCCTCAAAGAACTCTGCTCAAACACAAACCAAACTCCACCTGATCCAAGTCAAGGGAACATGGCAGTGCCACGGAGAAGACGCCCCGCTGACCCAAGGAAAGATCTCGGACGCAAAAATGTGAGTCCCCAAAAACTCCTCTGGATGTCATTGTCAAAAACAAAAATAGACTTTTCAATATAATTTTATGCGTAGCTTTATTTTATCAATAATATTCCACTAGTGAGTGGACGCATGCTGTTGGATACATGACAACATAGGACTGAAATAATGTTCTATTTAAAGCAGTGGTCACTCGTGTAAAACATGTACAGAATGTTACAGGGGAGATGGACCAACTCTCAAAATATTACTTGAGTAAAAGTGTTGTTAGACTTGAAATGGATTTGAATAGTTTAAAATAAATCACTTTTTAATCACAAAACTACCAACTCACCTGATAGAATGAATGAGAAATGACGTCAAAACAAATGCAATGTAGGTAGAAAGTAGTAATTCACCAACAAAGTATTAAAACTAAACAACAACAAACTATTATTGTCCACTTGTGTCCTGGCCAAAATTAATTAACTGAGGTTATTTTTAATTTAACAAATCAAGTAACATGTCGTCAGAAACTTCCCTGAGAGTCACTACTTGATGCTTTGGGCTGAGAGCTGATTGGTTGAGTGAGGGTGGTCCTCTCTTCTTGACTTCTCTGTCTGAAAAAGCTGATCTCTGAAGATGTGACTGAGGCCAAAAACACATGTGAAAACTACTGGTGGTGATGACACTGGAGCTCTTATAGGGACGGACATTACACAATAGCCTTGGCTATAAATATTGTAGAGTTTCACATATTGACTGCGTACACTTCATCAAATAAAATAAATCAATACATTTCTTTCAAATTGTTTTGAGCGGATTGCACACTCTCTTCTCAGTAAGAAGGTCCCGGGTTCGAATCCGGTCCAGAACGGTGCCTTTCTGAGTGGAGTTTGTATATTCTCCCCGTGTCTGCATGGTCGGCACAAGATCATATTTGGAATTGGGACAGAAGCGGAAGTAAATAAAACCAACTACCTAAACTAATAGATTCATGCCTAACCCTTCCCATAAAATAACCCCAACCCAGCCTTAACCCTAACCTTAACCATCTTACTCAGACACCTAAAACTTAACCAGTCACCACTTAAGAACTTATTAGTGTAAAACTAATTCGAAAGTAGGATTTTTATTTCTGCTTCCGTCCCGCTTCTGTATATGATCCAGTGCCAACCGTGTCTGCATGGGTTTCTTCCAGTTTCCTCTCCCAATAAAAACATGTACAATAGTTCTGACATGCACCTCCTGTTCTGGCAACCTAGATCCCATCTCTGTGTGGAGTGAGAGACAAATGTCCACAACAATTGTAAAAGGAGCTGTACAAATAAAAACTTACTTCATGTTTTATGTCTTTTACTTTGAAAATGAGCTACAACAGCTTTAAGCATCACTCAAGTCTCTTTCTTTCATCAATCTCCAGCTATGAGAGCAAATCCCATCATGGACTTACCTGGACGGTGGTCAGCCCCATCGTATTCACCTACAAAATCGTTCAACGGGAGAATTTGCTGGATCCCGGAGACGACACGCTTCTGTGGGGCCATCTGGATCACGAAGACTTCAGCGGCGCTCACGACACGTCTCACCCTGTCAAACGGTTTATTGTGATTGACGAAACAGTCCAGCAGCTCTACGGTGCCAAAATAACCGAGTATTTCAACACCAGACAAGTCGTGTACAAAGTCCTCCCGCTTCCAACAACAGAAGAGAACAAGTCTTTAGAACTGGTGACCAAGATCTTACAGGAAGTCCATGATTTTGGCCTGGACCGTCGCTCTGAGCCAATCATAGCCATAGGTGGTGGAGTTTGCCTGGACGTGGTGGGGTTGGCGGCGTCTCTGTACCGACGGAGAACCCCGTACATACGAGTGCCCACGACTTTGCTGGCCTATGTGGATGCCAGCGTAGGGGCCAAGACTGGGGTGAACTTTGCAGGGGGCAAGAACAAACTGGGGAGCTACGTACCGCCTGTGGCCACATTCTTAGACCGCTCGTTCTTCCAGACGCTACCTCCACGACAGCTGTCCAATGGGATGGCTGAGATTCTGAAGGTGAAGCTGATGCATGAGTATTCAAATAGCTGTAGGTTTGCATGGTCCGGTATGAAGTGCTGGGGTGTGACATGGATCCGCTTGTTCCCAGTTCTGATTCAAAAAAGTTAATTTGGTCTTGAGTTAAAATGCTTGTTGTGGAGCAAATATGTGTACAAGAAACAAAAGTAGAATATCAAAATTATGCATAAATAAACCTGATTTACATTTACATGATACAAAATTATAAGTATTTTCTACAGAAGGGAAACACTTGCAGATACTTGAAAAGGAGTGGGAAGAATAAATAAATACAAATTAATCCCACCCCTGGTTGAGGGGGTAGGAGTGAGTTAAGTTTGATGTATTACCTTTTTAACATGGTTGGTGCACATGAGATAGTCTTGCACAGTTTTTCCAATGTGGTTTTACTGCAAATGGCAAATAAATTCTTGAATCTTGAATTATTCGGCTGCAGATGAAGTTGACTTCCAGCTCTGCCGCTGAATCGTGTTTACAAGATAATGCATCCAACTTGTCCGACCACAAAAAGCATGTACCCAGTTCTGTTTGTTTTTCTGGTGTTTGAATGTCACACAACACAGTAAAAAATGATTCAGACAATGGGGGCGTTACTGACGGGAGCAAGTTTGGCTGATATAGATCACCACCAATCGCAAACTCACGCACGCACACACATACATAAACACCAGATTTATAGGAGCAAGCTTATTGAGGTGAAGAGGATTTTCTAACTGATAAATGCTCTCCAAAACAGTTTACATTCATAATAATGTGATAGCTGATTGTCAATGGCAGCTATCATCTTAGCGTGGGTCGACCATTAGGATTAGCCTGAATATAACAATATAACTATAACAATAATGCAAATAATATGAATTTCATGTATGGACATTTATCAATACTTATGGACATTGGTCAACTCTCCTCTATGGACCCATGTGTTCTCTATTCTTTGTGTTTGATCTGTTAAGTCTTCTGAGATAACTACTGTTGTGATTTAGGGCTATACAAGAATACATTTATGTTGAATTGAATTGAATGAATGCGTCAGGTTCATAAACTGTCACTCTACCTGTCAGATCAGTTCTACATTGTGATGTGTGCCCCAGAGACAAACACATAAAAACACAGAACAAAAATAATAGCACATTAAGAAATACACATAAACAATTGTCACTGTGAGATAATTCAAAGTGCTCATATAATAAAGTGAAAGATCAACGGCTGTAGAAAACAAAAAAATTCAATTTAATGTCAGCTGGTTGAAATATGGCTGTTGGCACGGCGCCATGGGCTTTAGATGACATTCGCTTTCAAAGATGATTCAAAGGACATTACTCATTCACTCACAATGGTTATAAATACTAAACTACTGTAGCCACAGCTGCCCTGGGGTAGACTGACGTAAGTGAGGCTGCTGTGCCATTGGTCCCTCCAACCTGCGTCTGGTGACTGTGGAGGCCGGGTCATCTGGCCCAGCACCCATCACTCTCCTTATTGGTCAAAAAGCCCTTACACAGCCTGGTGTGAATCTACAGTCAATAGTCATGATAAGAAAGGAAGCTCATTGAATGAGAAAGTGCGTCCAAACTTTTGGTCTGTACTGTACATACGCTGAGTAAATACACTTCCAAAATGAAAACCTGTCAAATTGACTGCTCTGGGAGTTCTAGTGTTAAGGCCAAAGTTTAGTTAAGCCCCGCCTGTCCTATTCTCAACTGACTTCAATCTGCCGGCTGTCTTCTACTCAGTTCTTTTGTTTTTGGGATCAAATATTTATTAGATATTCTATAATTCAGAACTTTTTTACCATCACCACCTCCCTTTGCGTCCCCCATCCACACACACACGCACACACACGCACGCGCACACACGCACGCACGCACGCACACACACTAACACACACACCTACCTCCTACTCAGTTGTAATGTTATGAACTCTCCTATCTATCTCCTTCCCCAGATGGCCTTGATGAAGCACCGTGGGCTGTTCGAGCTGCTGGAGGCTGAGGGCCCACAGATGCTGGAGTCCAAACTGCAGAGCTCCGACACGGGCTCCCGCTGCACCCGCCTCGCCATACACACCATGCTGGAAGAACTGGCCCCCAACCTGTGGGAGGACGACCTGGACCGACTGGTGGACTTTGGCCATCTGATCAGCCCCCCACTGGAGATGGTCTGTCAATCAATCAAACCATCTCTATAATATACTATACACATTCACTTTAAAGATGGAGTACCTTACTTTTGGTTTAATAAAAATACATACAATCTAATTCATTTTTGTATAGCCCTGAATCCCAACAACGGTCGTCTTGGAGGACTTCACAAAGTTGTTGGTTCACAAGGAACACAGGAAATGCAATAATAAAAACAAACGCATATGAGCCGTTGGTCCAAAGGGGAGAGGATGACCAATATATACCAATTCATGAAAAAGTTATTCTTGTACAGCCCTAAATCACAACAGAAGTTATCTCAGAGGACTTTACAAAACCGTTAAATTCGCCAACACAGATCAGAGAATCAACCAGCTCAAACTCAAATGATGCAATGAAAGAAAAACACATGACGACCAATGTCTATACATTTTGATAAATGTCCATAAATGTTGATGAATGTCGAGTATCCTGGATCATCACCGCTGTCCTCAGACCCTCCTGCATCGGCATGGAAAAACTTTCACAAAAAAACTCAGTGGGACAAAGTGAGAAACCTCGGGAAGGCCCACATTGAGAGAGGGATCCACTCCCACAGACGGACAGGCTCAAAATACATGCTTGTCCCAGTGTAGAAAGATTTGTGTGTTCGGGTGATGGGTGAATGCACAAATTTGCAAAAATAGGAGCTTGCACCAACACTCAACGACACACACACGCCACTGTATACACACACACACACACACCCACATGTAAATATCCACACTGTTGTCTGTCTAGTCTGTCTTGTTGTATTTGTCCGTACTTGTTTTGTATGTCTATTTTTTCACAATAAAAAGAAAGATTTGTGTTTTAAGTAACATTTGTTGAAGAAATCAAACCACAACATTCTGCCTTTATCTTGATAGAAAATTATTTGATCTTGTACATACAGAGAGCTGATTGGCTGAGTAAAGGCCAAAAACACAGTACATGCATGTGAAAACGAGTTATAGAACCAAACAGATTTGAGAGCTAGCAACCAGTTATACGGATCGTATTGCATTGTTTATTGTTTGCGGTTTCAAAAGTATGCACTCCATCTTTAAGCCATGACACATCACAGCAGACTTATATTAAAAGCTTGTTGTCCATTGATTAGTATGGTGCGATCCTGTTTGTTTGCCCTGCAGAGCCAAGTCTCACATTCATTAACATAGCTGAATGTGCTGTATCAAAGCTTTCAAAACGGTGAGAAGTTGGCACGCTTACTGTACTTAATCTCACCGTGCGTCACTATCGCTTAGAAGAAAAAAGATAATTATATAGCTAAGTGAAGAGTTGTTTGTCATTCCAACGCGTTATATAGAACTTGTCGGTCTTGCCCGTCCATACTGTAGCAGGTAATCTACAGTATTAGTCACTCATAACCTTTAGCAGCAATGTCCACATTCATTTCATTTAAGTATTATGGCACAGACCGTGAATGCATTTGTTTTGTGCGATCGTTTGATAACATTTTAAATACTGTATAACTCATTAGCCCCGTTTCCACCAGCCCTTGACCCTACTCTACTCGGCCCTGTTTCATCTGGTTGTGTTCCGTTACACTTTAGTTAATGGTACCACAACAAACCAGTAACTGTGGTTGCCATGATTTCCAACATCACACTGCCCAATCTGTAATTTGGTTTTATACAGCGCTTTTCAGGACACTCAATGACGCTTCACATGACATTGTTCTTTCACTCCATGAAAAACGACCACTATAGCCACACCTGCCCTGGGATCAGTGTGCCCCAGCGAGGCAAGCAATATATGCAATTGGCCCCTCTAACCACCACCAACTGTTCACACACACACACACACCCGACTTCTTTCTAGGTAATGTGGGTGAAGTGTCTTGACTGCTTGGCACTACACAGCCTCAGCCACCCCAATGTTGCACCTGGCGTTCCTAGAGGTCTCCCATCACAGTACTAACCTGGCCCTGCACTGCACAACTTCAGAGGTCTGTCGGGATCAGGCTTTTGTATGCAAGTATGGTCAGTTGTAAGTTAAAACACTATACAAACTCAGCCTATAGAACCAGAACCAGGCAGGCACTGAAGAAGTACCTGGGGCTGGTGAAACAGAGCCGATGGAAAAGCTCCTAAACAGGGGTAGAGTAGAGCTGTGTAGAGCTGTGTAGAGCAGTGTAGAGCCAAGAAGGATGGTGGGAATGGGGCTATTTACTTGTAGGTGGCATGCTTCAGACGCCAAGTGCACGATTTGTTCCAAAAGTACTCTCCATGTCCTCGCCACAGCGACAAGGTACAACACATGACTCCAATTCTATGTAGCATCATTGGTTTTTCATGGGTTTCAGAAGTGAGAGAATGACAATAATCTATCTTTGAATGGTCCCGAGACGGTTTCTTTAAACACAAAACCAGAGGTGAAAAAAGTACTAGTCCGAGGTACTAAATAGTATAGGTACAGGTATAAAAGTAAGCTGTAAGTATTGAAATAATTCCCTTCTTAAACAAAAGTATAACATTACAAGCGTCTAACTGTACTTATGTAAAAAAATAAAAAAATAAACGGCATTTAGTTGAATAATGAATGTTATACTTTTAAAATGTTACCATGGAAACATTTAAACACGATTTTTATACATTATACATTTTTCAAGCTGGTAGAGAATATGAACCATGTCAAACTGAAACCAAAAGTTTCAGTTTGACTGCTTCAAACATGTTTTTATGTGATGTCCCCATCTGTAAACTACCCTAGTCTATTCTTTATTAATGTATAGAGTAAAACGTGCAGATATTTGGGTTTAAAAGTATGGAGTAAAAGTATAAAGTTGTCAGAAAAATGAGTTGTCAAATTGATTACTGCCACAGGATAAAATACTTAATAATATAATAATAATAAAATACTACGATTTTACTTAGGTTTTCCATGTTTTAGAATGGAAGGGACTTGATTTCACTTGAGACGTTGCCAAAACTAATTTATGGGCGATACTTTTGTTTTAAAAGGCAGAAGTGTGATTTCATAGTGGTACAATGACATCATACTATTACAGGACTGAGACAGAAGGGGCGGAGTTACATGTCTGTGCCAGAAGCTCCTGAATTTATTGTGGATGGAGCTAAAAACAACTCCAGGTCTGTGATGGATGAGGAACAATGTTGTAACATGGTAAGAACCTAAAAAAAAGGCAATCTTGCATCATATGTTTTTGTGAAAACAAGAATAAGAGGCAGACTCAAATGCACTGCAAAAAAGGACAAAAATAAGGTAATATTTAGCACATTTTTACTGTCTGGAAACTAAATTCCAATGGGACAAGCAAAAATGTCTTCCTTGGAATGAGAAATGAACAGCAACAGCACTTAAAATAAAAGGCATGTTGGCAAATCTTTAAGAATATACTCAAATTAATATAAACAAAAACCATGATTCAAGCATTTATTACCTTAAATGTTGTCATATTTCTTTGCAGTGTGTAAAAAAGGTGTAAGCCAAACATTTTATTCCAGAAGACAAAGTTAAAACAGTCACACGCTGCTCTACAGGCTCAGGTCTATGGCGTGTACTTCTTTCTGGGACCTTTAAACCTGGTTGGCCCCGCCCACCAAGATCTGGCCCAACATCAAAACATATCAGGTGAATGGAAAATCCAACAAAAAGCAGCAGAGTGATAACTGAAATCTGAAATCAAACCAAGCATGTAAAAGCGACAAGGTTACCCTTTTTTAACCCTTTGAGCGCCAGCGATTTTCAGAAATGTTACGTGAAGCAAAGTGTGGAGACCTGAAACTTCATAGGAGGGAGAGGACTATTAAAATAAACAACAGAAATAAATTGGATTAAAAAAAATGGGAGAAAGTGTTGGGAAACTTTTGTGTAAAGCCAGGTTGCTGTATAAAGTGTCCTGGATTCTGTCACGGATAAACAAGGAAGCACCCAAAAGCAGAACTGCAAAAATAATATATAATTTAAAAAATGCCACAAAAAGGTTAAAGTTGCAACCAGGAACAAGACATGGGGAAAAAACAAGGGTGTAAATCATACACAGCGGGAGACACAGAGGGCGGGGCAAACAATCAACAGCACAGACACAAATATATGTATATATCAAAATACAAACAAGGACAAAACAAAACAAGTCCACACCATGACAGATTTGGGAATTGATGTCTGTGGGGAAGCTGGCCCGAGTGTCAAAGTGAGACAGCAGAAGTCACATTCAAAGTTGCCAAAAGAGATTTATTTTGCACAACAAGCAATCCTGTCCCTTGGGTGTGACTCCCCGTGACGAGGTTCACCTGTGAGCTTTTATCATTGTAGCTCCGCCCACATGGGTTTGCCCACAAAACAAAATGGCTGCCCGAGACACACCCTCTTCAACAGGTAATACATTCAATAAAAGTGGCATTAAAAGGGACAAAGGAACCTGCTTTGTCACAATGTCAAATGTTAACTACTTTGGGACCTAAAGTAAAAATATTTGTTACTTACCCGCTCTGTACAACACCCATAGGTGGGGGTTGGTGGTATGTTTATGTGAATGTGAGGCGTCATCATTGTGCTCGTTTGTGATACAGTTGTTGATTGGCTGATTGATTCTAAAACTACTACATGTCTGTCTTTAAACTCACCCAAACTCATACTTCCCGTCTCATGAGCAGGAGGTGCTGCCCGCTCTGCTGCACGGGGAGGCGGTCAACATCGACATGTGCTTCATGGTGTACGTGGCCCACCTGAGAGGGCAGCTGTCCGGGGACGAGAAGGCCCGGGTGGTGCGGTGCATGCTGGGATTGAACCTGCCCGTGTGGCACCAGGACTGCACCCTGGACCTGATCCGGAAGGCCCTCAGCGAGAGACTCAAGCACTCAGGGGGCTCTCCCAGGATGCCCCTCCCCACAGGACTGGGACAAGCAGGTACAATGCACAATACAACACACAGAATAGCTAATACTGCTACTACTACTACTACTACTACTACTACTTCTACTATACTACAACTACTATACTACTACTACTACTACTTCTACTATACTACTACTACTACTTCTACTATACTACAACTACTACTTCTACTATACTACTACTACTACTACTTCTACTATACTACTACTACTACTTCTACTATACTACTACTACTACTTCTACTATACTACAACTACTACTTCTACTATACTACTACTACTACTACAACTATTCTACTACTACTACTACTTTTGCTATTACCACTACTACTACTACTCCTACTACTACTACTACTACTTGCCCTTATAAACAATCAAGAAAAAAAAAACTACATCCAAGCTAAATATATACAGCCATACTATGTTTAAATGGTGGATGTTATTGATATTTGCAATAGATTTGATTGGTATTTTTGCTCTAAAAATTAAAGCTATTAGTATTGGTTTTTTTCATGTAATTTACCTTCTTTTATTCCTTATTTGGTATTATTCCGTATGTGCGCAGCAACACTGACATTTCCCCATAATGCGGTTGTACATTCTGAGTAGAGCGTCAGCTGATAACATACATCACGCACATTTAAAGCAGATGTAAAGCCCGTCTACAGCATTTCCATGTGGTCGTGGTCAGGCCGGACTTTCACAACACATCACGTTAAACTTTCTTTAGTTTCGAAGACAATTTTACCCAAATATGTTTACAATCTATATAACCTTTATTCATAATTATATCGCAGCGAAAATAAGGATTAACTGATTAAGAATTTAAATCAACAGAAACAACAGTCTTCTCTAAATCTTAGTATCAAAGCTAGGTATATCCGGCTGGTGTCACAGTGTTCAGGGGAGACTGTGGACGAAGAAACAAGGAAGAAAGAAATAGTTCCTTGAGGTGTTTTTTTTTCATATATATATTTTTTTCCAGAAATCTTAATGACTTTTCACGAAAATCTTATGTTTTTTTTTTTTACAGCACTCTTCCAGGAATTTTTTTTTTTACAGAAATCTTCCATGACTTGTTTTCATTTTTTTAAATCTTTCAATATATTTTAATATTTTTTACAATATATGTTCCAGAAATGTTCCATGATGTTTTCTTTTTTTTTTTTTTTTTTACAGACATTTTTTAATATATATATATTTTTTTTTACAGAAATCTTCCATGATTTGTTTTCATTTTCTTAAATTTCAATTTACATAAATACAGTATATATATTTTTTTACAATTTGTTTCAGAAATGTTCCATGATTTGATTTCATTTTTATTTAGCAGAAATCTTTTACTATATATACATTTTTTATAGATTTTTTTTTCACAGTAATCTTAAACCACATATATGTTTAATAATGTTTTACAGAAATCTTCAAGATTTGTTAAACCGATTTTTTTTTCTTTTTACAGAAATCTTCAGGATTTGCTTTTACACAAACGTTTAATCTAACTCAACACTTTTTTTTTTAACATACATATTTCCTGATTTATTTTACTTTTTAACAGAAATCTTCCACGATATGATCGGAGAGTCCGTCCTTTCTCAGGCCCATCAGATGTGGACCAGTGAGCTCTCTCCTCATTCCAAATAACCAACCAACGAAGGAAACAAGAAAAACCAACAAGACCAACCAGTACAAATACTCAAATAAACGTTTAATACTTCTCACAAGAGCTTCCACATGATGTACCAGTGAGTTTTACTTCAACAATTTGTCTCCAGTGCACTACATACTACCACTTCTATTGCTACATGTATTTCATATAAAGTGTATCGGATGCAGATGGACAGATTCACATTGAAAGCTTCATATCACCAGAAAATCAAATGTTATGTAAAATGTAAGTATTCAATCACCGTGCTTATATGCAAAGACTACAATATACATACAATGATTTCAATAGAGCGTTTTTTGAATAGGATTATTACTCATCGATCTTCACATTTTCAGACATCTCAAACCGCTACGAACATCCAGTGTATTTATTTTGGCGAGACGTTTGGCGAAGACGAGAACTCCTTATGTTACATCGGTGCAAACGGCGCAGACCATATTTTCAGCGCTGTCGTTGTTGTCAAAGCCTGAGGGAGAAGTCTCGGCGGCTCTTCGTCTCAAAAGTATAAAACATAAATAGTAACAGAAGGTTTATAAGGCACTTACATCGATACACATGTGCTGCCACTGCATAGTTCAACAGGCGTGTGCGCTCTGGCGGCGGCGGGGAAAGAAACCCCCCCGGCGTGGTTTGTATATTGTGCTACGCTAAAATAAATGAGAAATGCATTAGGTTTTATAGGCGCCATTAGAAGGACTCCCAAAGTGCTAATATTATTCCATCCATCCATCCATCCATTTTCTTCCGCTTTATCCGTTGCCGGGTCGCGGGCATAATAATAATATTATTATTCTTCTCAAATATTGAAGATGGAGAGACGTAACGCAAGCCTCAAGTTAGACCCGCCCCCACAGCTTCCTGATTGGACACAATGAATTCAAATCTTAAATAAACAGCTGAAGCCCCTCACGATTGGTCCAACTATTCTCCTTATAAATATTAAATACATGCTATATGATAATACTTTTAAAAATTACTGGTGGTGGTTATGCCAAGGAAATTGACTGTTTTAAATATATTGACGATAAAATACTTCATTTAGATGATACTAAATGCAGGGCCCTATGTTCAAATACATGTATTCATCTAAAACTGGAGAACAATTGAAGTTGCAGATGATCACCTTTAATAGAATGATGCCGGTTTTTTATTAGTTTTACACCAATGGAGCTGCTTTATGAAGAATATTTGGGGAAACATTGACATTGGCAGGAATTAGACAGAACTGAGGACATCATCAGAGGCAGAGTTTGGCCTTTCATATAAACTATTACTACTTTGATAACTAAACCATTTTTTGACACTTAAAATCTTGTCATTTTTGTCAACATAGCTCGGTCGTTAACATCCCTTTAGTGATGTCATCGTTTGCAACCAGGAAGTGAAAGAATTATGATAAAACTGTGGCTACATTGGAATGAAATTGAAACATTCTTCAGCAGATTCTTAAACAAAATCATCTTGACTGTGTTTTGTGAACAGTAAAGTCTAAACGAACTTGTGCCATATGGAGTTTGACCATTTGAATATTTTTAACTTGTCTATAGCTTCAAAATAATGACAGCAAAAAATTACAACAAATAAGTTAATCTTTGCTTGAATTAGGACGTAGAAGTAGAATTTGTAATCTCCTCCACTGTTGTACAAACAAAGCTATCATTCATTCATTCATAAGGAGTTTGTTTATATTTAGTTTAAAGTACGATTTGCCATTGAAACACGTAGCTTATGTGTTTTTGTATATTTTAGTAAACAGTTTTTGGAGACATTTTAACTAATTTCTAACTTCTGTCAGCAAAATATCTTTTCAAATCCGTCAAAATGTCTCTTTAATTCAAGCACGTATTAACCTTTTGCTGATGTTTTTACAGTGCAGTAGACTTTAACAAAACCCAGTGCTGTAGATTGTGTGATTTCAGAACCATTGTATGCTTGAATGACATAACAACATCTTAAAACAGTCTCCTTATATTCCTAGCACTTACAAATGAAGAAAGCATGGTGCAAAAAAAAAAAAAAAAAATTTGAAATGGATGGAAGCTAAACATTTATCAGTAGTTTGTGCTTTTGACCCAGTTTGGCTATAAGAGTTTGATCGTGGCATTCCCTGAAAATGTCATCTTCATCTCTCTCTCAACCCTCCAACGCCTGTCTATAAATAATAACAATGAGTTCATGATGCAAAGTACAAGTTTGTGCTTTCGTGTTTCCGGCAGTGAAAATCATACGTACAACAGTCTTTTTGGATTGCATTTTGAAATCTGTTTTGACAAAGCTTAAATCACTGCTAAAATACTTCATTCTTTGGATATACAGTAAAGTGAACTTGAAGAGAAATGCGAAAAGATAAATAAATGAAAACGTACAGCAGCGGAAAGAATATGCAAAGTTAATCTCAGACGGACGGACGCCTCGCTGACATCGTGCATAGAGCGGACCCCACGTCTTTCGTAAGGCATTGGCACATTCAAGTTCAACCTAAGACACAGAGTGGAAAGCACTAGATCTTAATAAATAGATTTATATTATTGCTATTGATTTTTTTTGGTTTTTTTTTTAAACAGAATAGCTACACTTCTGATCACCGTTTATAACTTAGATTCTTTGGATTCAGTAGAAAAAGCACATTCTAATCTCTATAGGTGCACTGCGCAAAAATGACAAAATTGATAAGATGAAGAATGATACAATCGGGTGCGATGTAGTTTTATGGAAATATTTAAATACAAAAATATTTCTAAAAGGTTCAAAATACGATCTGTCAGTGGAACAAATGCAAGTGAAACTCAGACAATTAAAATAGCATTCAAAAGTTCATAAACTAATATTAGACATATTTAATACACGCTTTTATTATTTTATGATGTTGATATTCAGCTCAAGTTTATATGAACCTATATTCAAACATTTCAGAAAATTTGAATATTTAGAAAATTGACTTAATCATATATTAGCTTCACGTTTTAAGTCAAATAACTGAAATAAATGAACTTTTGAACGGTAGTCTCTATGTTTTTTGCCTTGTATACTCATTCAATCAACTTGAATTTTCTCATTTTTGTAGTGCACACAAACACATCTATAATATTCTTTAAAAAATAAAAAACTACTCTCTAAAACTCATTGTCATAAAACGTTGATTAAAGCATTACACGTACAAAAATCAGTCCTTGAAACGCAGGAGAGGGCACAAAGATATGAACGCACGTGTAAACGGAGCAAAGGGGGGTCTCTGTGCAGCAGCTCAGTCCCGCTGGAACCCACGGCCACAAACATCACTTTCAATGCTTTACGTCGGCTCGAAGAAGGAAAAGAATATCTCGATTTGAGTCCAGAGAAGAGGAAAAGGAACAAGCCGCGATAGTTTCTCGTTCCAAGGGACACATTGCTCCATGTTTTGTACGTATGACAGATTAAACAGTAATAATACAAATGTTTTGGGGAGAATACTTCTAAATGTTATTACTAGTTTTGCACCAATCTGGAAAAAAAGGAAAGAAAAGTAAAATATTTTGGCGTAATTTGGGAAAAATACATGTTATAAATATTATTTCTAGTTTTGCACCAATTAGGAGGTTTGTGGATAAGAAAACTAAATAAAAGAAGTTCTATGAAGACATCACACAGAAATAAATAAGGTTTTTTCTTTTTTTGTCATACAGTACTATGAATTAGGAGTTACCGGTTTTATTTTCTAATGTATGCAGTATATTTATACAACTATATCCTGTTATTTTCTTGTATCATCAGTTAGTACTGTGATGGGAGACCTCTGGGAACACCAGGTGCCACAGTCGGGCGGCTGCAGCTGTAAAGTGCCAAACTGTGGCTGTGTCCTTGGGCAAGACACTTCACCCACAATGCCTAGAAAGAGTCAGGTGTGTGCGTGAATGGTTGGTGGTGGTCGGAGGGGCTGATGGCACATAATGGTTGCCTTGCTTTTGTCAGTGTGCCCCAGGGCAGCTTTTGCTAGTAGTTTATTACCACTGTGCAAAGTGAAAGATCGTAAAAATACAGTTAAGAACTATATTTGCGCTTTAAGGTTACAGATTTGAATTATAATTTGTAGATTTGAATTTTCCCCTTTTTCTTTTTTTGTGAACTTTCAGCCTGTCATACGCACAAATCAAGGCAATGTTCCTTACACTGTCAAAATATCCTCAAATCAAGATAGAAAATACCTTTTACAAGCCCTTAATAAGTGATTAAGAAGTTATTTTGGCCTGACACGTTGCAGAGGCTGTTCCGCTTTAGTCCAGTGGGGGGTGCTAACACGTCTGCTCGTTCTCATCCATGCTCACACTGCTCTTGCGGCTGCTGTCCTGTGACGGGTCGGGGGAGACGGAGGAGAGCAGCGGGTCGCCTCTCACCGGGGACAGCGTGTCTTCCATGAGGATGTCGTTGAGTTTGGAGCCCGGTTTGTGGTAGTGGGCGGGCTCTTGAAAGTTAGCGGGGTCTGAGGGGTGGTCCGGGGTGCAGGGCTGGTGCTGCTGGGAGGGGTGCAGCGTGTACAAGTCCCGGTGACAGTCCTCCAAGGGCAGCTCCTGCTTGATGTGCCGCGGCCCCAGCTCGGCCGGGCAGAGAGCGGAGGAGATGGACAAGCCGTGAGCGCGAGCCTGCATCTCCAGCTCCTGTGACACACCAGGAGGAAACATGAGGACCAGGGACCAGGTGGGCATTACCAGGTCAAAAATAATACACCAGTACAACTTTAGACCTGCCTCAAAAAATGCATGAAACCAAATCCATTCTTGTGATTTTCCAGATGTTTATTTTGAAGTCCTTTGTGTAATCAATACTAATTATACAATATTTGATAATGGGTTGTTTACGTTGTTCAAGAAAGTACTTGGTTATTGCACCAGTAAGTTAGAGAACCAAGAAATAAAAGGGAATTTGGTCCAAACCTTTCAACAGTAAAATTACAAAGACCACAATCCTTGGCACAATGTTCAGACGGCCAAGAGATAGAGTCTAAATTTCTTCATTAGGAGCTCAATAAAGTTGATCTTATCTTATAGATAAACGTGGATTGATTGTTTTACGCTCACATCACATAAATAACAATGATTCCTATAATTAACTCTGAATACAGAAGAGAATGTCCTTTGTATTGTCTTTACTGTACGTAATAATGCAGTGCAAAGATTACATAGGTGAACATCTGACTTCCCACAAAGTCAGAAGTTCAATTTCAAACTGAAACAATAACTTGTATGTGTGTAATCCTTGTGTGTAATCGTCCATCTTCCACCGTAACAACATGTGACGTCTATTGTTTTCTGAATGATGGTGAATGAGTCTTGGCCACGGCACATGACTGGGTTTACAAGATATGAAACATGACAAGACATGAAGGTCTGAAAGATGCTAAAGGCACTCTACAAAAATGTTTTTTTTTATGAAAGTTCATCCCACATCATGAGCACATGTATCCACCACAACCACACATCAGCAGTCCTGCTGTCCTGCATCAGTATCTGCATCAGTAATCCTGCTTGTACCAATATCTATAGTCTTGCATCACTAGACCTGCTCTCCTGCTTCTACCTGCATCAGTCCTCCTGCGTCAGTCGTCCTGCGTCAGTCGTCCTGCGTCAGTCCTCCTGCGTCAGTCCTCCTGCGTCAGTCCTCCTGCGTCAGTCCTCCTGCATCAGTCCTCCTGAATCAGCAGTCCTGCATCAGTCCTCCTGCGTCAGTCCTCCTGCGTCAGTCCTCCTGCATCAGTCCTCCTGAATCAGTCTTCCTGAATCAGCAGTCCTGCATCAGTCCTCCTGCAGCAGTCCTGCATCAGTCCTCCTGCATCAGTCCTCCTGCATCAGTTGTCCTGCTTACCTGTATCCGTAGCATGAGGTGGCGGTTAGCATGCTCCAGCTTCTTCTGCCGTGTCTCCAGCTCTTTGGCTCTCTGCTGCTCCCGCTGGAGCTTCCTGATGTAGTCCACAGACGCCTTGAGAATGGTGCCTTTGTTCCAGCGCATGTCTCTGCTCCAACACAACACACATTGTTGAACACAACCATCACTAAAGCCACATTTACACTCGACCATACACTGACTCGAGGGTTCACTGACACGCAAGCCATCAACACACATACGCCATAACTACTTTTTAATGTTTTTGTTTTTGACAGTAATTCTTGAGGCATAGAAAGACAGAAGTTGGTGGTAAATCATGACAAAACAACAAAAGGCATTTCCAAGGTTCAGAGGTGCAGTGGGTGAGAGGGGCTGAGGACACAGGTCAATGGTGAGAAGCCTTCAGCGTATCAGTTCATCACAAATCTATACCCATTATCTACAGACAAGCCTTCATAGACCAGCCTGAGGCCCAAACAAGCACAGAGCCTTTGTCCACAACAACATACCGTTCATGACGGTGTTGTTAGGGCTGGGAAAACGTCACGCTATGAGTCCATTTTCCTCTTTAATCGTGTTGCAATAAACTGAGGCATTGATTTAAAGTCACTCTCAGTCGAGTGTGTGCGCTGCCCCTGCATCATAGAGCGTCTCTCTCTCTGTGTCCTGTGTCTGTGGGGTTCTTCCTACAGAGGACCCCTGTATCCCCTCTGCTCTGTTCTCTGCATTCCCTGATGCACGGTGCCTGATGCGCGGTGCCTGATGTCCCCACGTGCTGTGTGCAGAGCCAGTGCAGAACGTGCCGCTGGTGCGTGTTTGGACTCGTGGTTGTTCATGAGTCTGAGCTAAAGGAGGTCTCTGTGCGTCACACACAGTTATAGATCTATATGAATGTGGCCGTCGCCCTGAGCAGCTCTGCTTTACACATAAGGCCTTTGTACATTGTCCTGATGAATAAACACATGGAATGAAAAAGGGATTTGAGTTCAATACCTATCGTTTTACTTCATGCATTTATATCATAATATTATGAGCAAGTTTTTATTTCAAAAGCACAAAATACCTGTTTAGAATATTACTCCAGTGTTTTTTAAAGTAGTAGTCAGCATTAAACAGTATTCAAGAAGTTTAGACTAACAATTTATCGCATGAAACATTTGAAATGATAACAATATGCAGATAAGGGTCCATTTTGTTTGTATTAGAGAGAAATTAGTGTACATTTTTTATCAATCCTGGCCCTAATTTGTATGATTATTTTGAACATACTGTATTAAGAAAATTGAAATGATGTTCATTTTCGTCAAACGGATCTGTGTATTTTGTATCTACATCTTATTATAATGGGGACAGTAATTATGTTTTAATCCATATACTTTCTGTTTGTCTTTGATTTTACACATTTTAAAAAGACATGTCTTCCAAATTCCTGAATATGTATAATGGATGGATGGATAAGGATTAGGACTTTCTGTACCCCATTTGCAATTCTGTGGAAAAAAATTTGATGTTTTTAATTATATAAAAAACATATTGTTAAAGATATATCCTCCTCTTTGAAGAGATGGGGCCTGAAGCAGAGGATTGATTGTGCAATATTAAACTAGTGAATCAAATGTGACCGGTTTATGCTGTTTGTATTGTGTTAGATTCATACAGATTCATATATTGAGAAGAATCCTTGCTGATACAGAGGGTCTAAGGAAAGTCATGATGATCCAGAACATTTAAGAACATTTATAGCCCTTGGTCATCCCCCGCTATGTTACTATTGCATTTGGGTTTAAACTGTTTGATTCTCTAATCTGTGTTGGCAAATTGACAGCTTGATCCACAACGCGTGCTGTTAAACTGACTTAAAAAAAAAAAGAATGACAAAATGTGATAGGAGGGCAGCATACCAGACTAAGTTATATGTAGCACAATTAAAACTACAGATAGAAACTTACGGATCGTTGGATTTTGGAATCAAGGTTCCCAGTTCTTTGATGCGATCGTTGATGTTGAACCGCCTTCTTCTCTCGACTGCAGGAATGACAAATACACAGTTTGTATTAGCTCACACACACTAAACAGCATTGAGTTATATATAATTATATGAATGTAATATCTCCTAAACAAAAAGTCCTCTGAACTCACTGAGGTTGTGGTTGTCTTTCTTTTGCCTCTCTTTAGCCAGAGCTCGCACTTCTGCTTTGTGGAAAACAACATTCAATGAGTGAAGTTACCAGGAAACAATAGAACGAATGTTTCCAGCACAAAGACGTTTCTTAAATAAAAGGTCAGACATGTGATCGTCTCAGACCTGATGCTCTCATGTGCAGTGTCTGTGCTGTTTTATGTATTACTGCAATAAAAACTCAACTCCTAAAGATTCCTCCTTGGCTAAAGTGGTGTGTGTGACAAGAGCTCATAAAAATCCTCATATAAGCCAAAGTAAGTACATGTATGTCATTATTTGGTCTTGCAATAGCTATCTACCACAAAGAACACATGTGCAGATTTAAATATATATTATGGTGACTGTTTAATCCTCAGCAAAAGAAAGTCAGAGTGGACGAGTCAAAGAGAACCCACACGTACCCACGGGGAAACCCTCCGGCCTCTGATAGCTGTCGTATTTGCCGCAGGATCCAGACTTGTCCAGCATGTGCATGATGGCAGGGGACTGTGGCACTGGAGGAAGAGGAGCCTGTCTGTTTAGCATCACTCATACAACAAACGTGCGTCGGAAATAAGCAAGAACTGACTGAGAAGACAGATTTCAGAAACATGATTGCGGTTTAAACTTTAGAACAAAAGTGAATATCTGTAAATGATGCTTGAACTATGCATAATTGATCTTGAAGCAGA